GTGCAAGCTGTGCGGCCGCCGAGCGCACGAGGCGCCCCCGCGGCGCCAACGGGCAGGCACCAAGGCGGAACCTCGGCTGGCCCACCCAGCGCACGAGGAGCCCCCGAGGCGCCCACGGGGCGCCAACGGGCAGGCACCAAGGCGGAACCTCGGCTGGCCCACCCAGCGCACGAGGAGCCCCCGAGGCGCCCACGGGGCGCCCGCGGGCGGCCCCCAGGGCGACGCCTCGGCTGACGCACCCCGCGCACGAGGAGCCCACGAGGCGCCCACGGGCGGGCACCAGGGGAACCCACGGCTGACCGATCCAACTCTGAAAGTAGGGCGGGTTGGATACCCTCCAACTCCTGTAGGTCAAGCACTCCTGGGGGGGAGACGTAACAGATACCGACGTCCTGAAGCAAGACTGCCTCGGCAAGAGGGGTCCCAAACGTGCTCCATATAACCACGGACAGCAAAACGATGTTGTAACATATGTCGATGACCTATGGGAAAACCAAGACGCCACGCCACTGCTGAAACCAAGGGAAAGGAGGGTCACTTGAAGACGGGACCAAATACAACCCAAAAACCCCTGGCGTTCCCCTCCCCGCCCTCCGACACCCGACTATACTGCTCCAGTTCCCCCTTCTCTCGATTTTTGTTCAGCCGCCCAGCCTTTGCCCGCGCGCTCCGAACGCGGGCACTCCGGGAGGACGTCGAAGCGGGCCCGGCTCTGACTGCGAACCCTGGCGCGGAGCCAGAAGCCCACTTCCCCACGAACTGCTGACGCTTCTCCCCAGGACGAGGAAGGAGCATGGCAGGAGGGATTGATGAGCTTCGGAACCACGCCCCCCGTGGCACGCGCCGAACAATAGGAGGAGAAAGGAGAACACAAGGGCAGGGAGAGAGAGAGAGAGAGAGAGAGAGAGGGCGTGGGCAAGGGGCAGGGGGGAGAGAGAGGAAAAGAAGACGGCGTCGAGAAGCTGGGCCCTGCGCCCCTCGGGTCCTGGCCGGCGTGGCGCGCACACAAGGCCACCGAAGACTGCAGCTGGCGGGTCACGGGCCGGGCCCTGCTGTGACGCCCTGGGACAACTCGTTGGCGCCGCGGCCGGCCTCGAATTCGGCACAATACGTAGACGCACTGGCTCTTGCGCGTGCGAACGCCCGCCCGCATGATACTGCGCAGACGGCGGCGTGCGGCATGTGGCACACGCAGTGCGTTCTGCGCCCTGACGCCAAGACAACAACACAACCAACCTTCTATGGTACAGCAGAGGCCCTCAGCGGTGGTGTACACACGTCGGCACCGGGTCTGAAGGCGTGTCGAAGTGCTGCAGCTCGGGATGGTGATGCAACGTGCAGGGGAGCGCCGCTGCAGTGGCAATCGCGCTGCGCGGCGAGGACGGCACGTCGCCCTCACAAAATGCGCCGGCCCTGCCACTCATCTGGCCGAGACGATACGGCCTGCGCGCTGAACAACACGCGAGCGACTCGCCATCCATGATCGACAGATGCCACCTAAGCCAATCGGCACACTATCTTCGGCGGCGCGCCTAGGGGGAAGGCACTAAGGGGCGGGCACTCTCGGAAGGCTCAGAAGGCGTCCGGCTTTCTGAGAAACTCGACAATTCATTTCCGACCCCCCTTCTCCTTTCGGGGCGCCGCCGATATCTACGCAGAAACCACAACCATGAGCCCGTAACCTACGGGCAACGATACATCGTTATCAGGTTCGCCCACCACGGCTACTTGATCCACGAAGTGCCTTTGGCTTATCCTGGTGCTCCCTCAGGTCGAAGAACTTCCTGCCCGATGGACGGTGCCCATTGGGAAGCAGGCTCTCCGACCAAAGAGGTCGTCGTAGAAATCGAAACCGAGATGCCAAAAAACACATTGGCCATCGGCATCTCCTTCTCGATGTGTACGACGTCCTCTTCTAAACGCATGTGGTATGCCAACCGACAATGTCCAGAAACTGCCATCTCGTCCAAGCGATCGCCCCAAACATGTGTTTCTAGCGAACGCGGGCCCCTATCTCTGCTGCTATCGGACCTGCGCCACTTGAACCCAAACCGTCGTGATGACCAAATCTGCAAATGACATGCCCTTCACCGTCGTCACATCTTCTGTCCAACACCTCGTTTCGCTGATTCCTTCGTCAACCCCCATCGCGCAGCAGCTTGCGGTGCTGCTGTCGCGGGTTCCGGCATGCGCGACGTGCTGTGGCCCGCCTTGGACGAGCTCTGATTCAGCGCGTTGCCGAGGAGCTGTGCGCCGCCTCTTCCTCTGCCGCCAATCGTAGCGCGGCCAGTGCCATCGCACAGGCAGGCTGCCATCCTGCTCGACATCACCTCGTCTCGGCAGGGCCTCCTCGCGAAAGTTGATGTTCTCTGTTGTGGTTGGCCTCGGCCCGGGCTTTGCTAGTGAACCTTCGCCATTGTCTTTCTTGACTGGGCAGCGCGTGTCTCCCACCGCGTCTCCGATGCGGCGGCTGCAATCGGGGCGCTCCTCGGTGGCGACGTGCCTGAGCACGGCAATCCGCCTCGCGACTGACCCCTGCTTATGCCGCCACCTCTGCCTTTCAAACTTCGGCCAAACCAGCCTTGGTTACCGGCGGTGCCCGACATGTTCGACCTTCGTGCTCTGTGGTAGCCGTCGAGCGCGCCGCTGAACAGGCCTGTGGCATGCGCGACATCCACGGCTTCCCTCTTGCTTCTATGGCAACTCCAATCGGTTTGTTCGCGTAGTTCCCGTTCCCCAGCATATGTTTCAAAGCTTCGCGTCACCGTCTGGCTGCTCCACCTCACTTACGCTGGCGTAGTACTCGCCCTCTTGCATGTCGTTGCTGTTCTCTGCTGCCTCGGTCACTGCAACCCGCGCATCATCGTCCATGACGCCGTCTGGTTAAAAACCCGTCGTCGTCGCCGGTCTCAGCCACATGAGCGTATCGCGCTGTCGAAATGCTGCAGTGCCTGCCTCCCATCGACGATGACCATCTCGATGTTAACTCCAGCGCTTTTTCCTGGTAGGGGCCACACGAGCGCGGTAAAATCAGGCTCTATCCACGCTGCCCCCAATGAACTTGCACACGTGACGATTTCTTGAATGTGTCACGTTGCAGACATCAGTGCCGAACAGTCGTGTCGACTATGCTGATATTGGACCCGGGTCTCTGCAGTCAATGTTGCGCTACCGCTGGCTTCATCCAGCGCAAATTCATACATGCATTGCGGTCACGTCGTCCCGTCTAGCAACTTGATGCATGTGCTCGCTGCCACCTTGGCTTGGCCCCTGTGCCACCCACGCGAACCTCCTCTGAGAATAGCCCGCCGAATCTGGCAAGCAATACCTGCGCGCTCCCAGGCAGGACCACAGCTTCTCCCCAAACCTTGCAGCCCCACAGCGCTATCCTTCCAGCTCGCGATCTTCTCGAAAGAGCACGGTTTCGTATCCCCTCGCATCCGTTGGGCAGACATCCAGCTCGCATGCGCCCGTCCGCCCGTCCAAGGTCGGCGCGCTGGGGTCCACGTCCGCGGACCTGTCGACTCCGCCCGTGCGCCCGCCATGGCTTCCATCGCCAAGCGTCCGATCAACAACATTGAAATAAAAATGCGCCCCCCGCGCGGGGAGTGCGAGTTGCCGCGGATCGCACCCGACGCCCGAGGCCACAATATATCGCTGTAGCATTGAAACGCCTGGTATGCCGCTGCCACGGTTGTTGGCCAAATTACCCAGCATTCGATGCACGAGTATACGTGCCGGAACCTGCTGAGAACTAGCCAAAGGTCCCTGCCGAGCAATCATAATGTCAGCGTGGATGCTGACGGAGTCGCTTTACATTGTCCAAATATGAATATGCTGGGTAGTTTTCCATCACTACCTGACGGTGTCGGACATGAACTTTGCCAATCGATTTCAAAGGGTACCCGGAAAAAGGGCCCTAGGATGGCCCAAGAGGTAGATCGCCAAGATATCCAAAGGAACATAACAGAAACACGAAACCAAGATGGGCGGCGAGATGCCGTCTGAGGTCTCGAACAAGCAACGTTTCGGCTGCAGGGGGCGGCAGTGACTCCCCAGATGCAAATCATATACACCGGGGCCACTGCAGCACATACCACGACGCACACAAGTTCCACGACGAACACTTGCAACGACATGCCAAACAGAAGGCCACCGACCAACATTGACGACGGCACCCACAATGGTCATCCAACTAATTCCTAGACTGGCCAATACCGAATGTCCCTAACCGGTACTCACAACTTCTCCATGGATGCCAGGCCTGGCTCCTAGAACGCAAGAAATGCAAACCCAAACCCAAACCAAGAGAAGGACAGCGACATCCGATGAGATGGAGCCATGCGGCAATACCAACGAGGTGATACAGCTAGACGAGGTGGTGGACGAGAACAGGAGCGACCCAATCAGCAAAGGATCGAACTAATGCGCCAGCCAGCTGAATGCCGTGGGAGGCGCCTCAGCTGTAAGGCGCTGCTCGCAGCGAGGGAGCGCGCGAGCACCTCGACAGCAACACAAGTTAGGCCCCCACTGCCAACGAAACGCCGAAGTAGGCACGGTTAGTCGGAACAAATCGCGACATTTCACACGCCTGAACAGCAACAAGTAGCTGCCGCACACGGACGAGGCGCACAACGACACAACCTCGACCTATAACGGCCCGCCACTGCCCTCAAGGCTGGCGTGTGGTGCCAGGGGGCAGGTGGCCAGTGAATCCCAAAGTAAACGTAGCAGGCATCTGCACAAGAGCGTCGCCGCTCGAAAAGGGTCCAGAGCAATCGTGCCCAATCGCAGAGATCCCAGATAGATACCGCTTGCAGGCCCCAGACCCCGTCCAAGAGCGCCGCATCATTATCCAAAGACGAAGGCATTTCAGAAGGGCAGCGCTCAACTGTAAGGCTCCTGCAAATACGAATCCCTCACGTCAATGGCTCCCCGACTTCCCGACTTCTGCTGGGAGCTGGGAGACATCTCCCTCGGGGAGGCGACAGAATCAGCCAACTGAACCGTAACTACCCGAAGGCGGCACGTGACACCGCACTGGGAGTGAGGGCCAGCACACAGCATCCACTGCTGCCTCGCCAGCCTCTCATCCTTGGACAGCGTCGCGCAGTTGGGAAGCCCTGCAGCACTGCGCACTGGCAGCCACGGACCGAAGTGCTGAACGGCAGGCACGCTTGGCAAGTACCCTGCGGGCGCCATCGTCGGGCCGGCAGGCCGCGAGCGCGAATACGTGTAAGGCTCAGCGAGGTACGGTGAGGCGCGCATGCCCGAGGACAAGAGTCTCATCAGGGAACGCTCCTGGGCCACATGAGCATCTGGCCCCCCTCGATGACAAAAGAAATGCCTCCGACGCGCCCACACACACTCACTCACTCACACACTCACTCACTCGCTCACTCACTCACTCTCACACACGCACACGCACACGCACACACAGACACACGCGAAATTGAGGTCGACGAGCCCAGACCCCCGACGTCGTGGTCTTTTCACAACGTCGACCCCCAGAGGTCTGGACCCCTTCCCCCAGGACCGGTTCTTCATCCTGCGTCGTTTTGTTGAGGGCCCCGAGGCCCGGTGAGCGTTCCCGGAGGCCGAGAACAGCGAAAAGCCTCCCGTCGTGTTTTTTTCACGACGCCAGGAGGTCTGGGAACGTGTCCTGCCCAGAGCAGGCCGGCGCTGTGCCTACATGCGCCCACGAATCGGCATCTGCACACTTCAGGCAGGCACAGCGGACCCCCCGCAAGGTCGCTCAGCTCCGCGGCCCCGACAGCTCGAGGCAGCGGGCGCAGCACTGGATCGAGAGGGGCCGGAGGCCAACGCTGCACACGAGGAGCACGGCCTGAGGAAGCGCTTCGATGCGCACGGGCCCTTGACCTAAGGACCCCTAAATAAGGAACGAGGCCCTTTTTTTTCCATAAGTTAAACTTCGATTTCCTATCGAAAACATGAGGGAAACCTGAGGCAAGCTGTGAAACACTTAAGGAACGCGGAGCCCCTCCCCAACGAAAAGGGTTCCTTCTTCAGGGCCCCGACTGTACGCACGGGCCCCAGGGTGGCAAGGCACTCGCCTTGGATTGTCCGTCCGCCGCCACTCTGGCACACCCACCCGCCTGTCAGGCTGACTTGGTGACAAGCCCGTCCTGCTGACATGCAACGTGCCCCACACATGGTTCGACCTCTTTTCTCGGCAGCTGACTCCCCCTGAAAAGTTGGGCAGCAGGGGAAGGGGGAGATAGGAGAGGTGGAGGAAAGGCGGTGGGGGGGGGAGGGGGGAAGGAGAGTGAGGGGAACATAGGGAGCGGTGGGGAAGGATGGGGGGAGGGACGCAGACGAGAAGGGGGAGCAGGGATGGGAGGGGAAGGACGAGCAGGGGAGAGAGGGAGGCAGCACGGAGGGACGGGGGCAGCACCGACCCCGGGCCTGTCGATCCCATGCGCAGCCTGCGGGGCCTGCGCGCACTCGAAGGCCACGGAACTCGAGCGGCGAGGGTGGGGGTGCCCTGCGCCCGGCAGCGCGCCCGCGGGCGCCACGGAGTCCGACTCCCGACGTTTGCCCCGAATTGCGATGCCCTCGCCGCCGTTCCTGGTGTTGAACCTCTCCGCGAACCGCCCGCACGCTGCGTCCGTCGATGGACCATTCCACGGATGAATTTCCGCTCGAATGCAGACCGGCTTCGCCTGTCGGCGCGCGTGCTCCTTCAGGCAGTACAGCCGCCGGTTGTCGTTGCAGAAGAGAGTGCACTCACCCTGGCCTCCATAGACTTTCACAACCTCCAGTCTGAGAAAACGTGCCTTCATCGGGTCGATCTCACCGCTGTCCAGCTGGGCAATCAGCGTATCGAATTCTCTGCCGTCCGAAAAGGTGCTGTTGATGTTGTACTGAGTATACTTGAGCTGGTCAATGCGGACGACGTCTTCGCGCACCGTCCGATCGTACGTAACCCACTCCGCTGCACCTCCCAGCCCCGGAGGGCAGGCCGGACCAGAGGCAGAGGCAAGCCTAATCGGAGGCGGAGGTGGAGGGTGCTTTGGCAACGGCATGCTGCTCTGCCGGGATCTGCTCCACGGGTCTGGCTCCTGGCTCCAAGGATCGCCCCCGACGTAAATCGGGGCAGAACTTGGGACATTCACCGTGTTTGAGCCAAGTTGCGCCTCTGCCTGAGCTGTGCAAGGCAACAATCGCTCGAGATGGTCGGGGAGGGCCAACTGAGACAACGGCGGCTTTCCCACCCGGCCCAAATCTGGTTAACAACGGTCGCCGGACCCCTCCCGGGCCTCCCGGGGTCCTTCCGACCCGATGTCCTAGCTGGGTCCAGCCGTGGCGACGAGAAGCCTCCAGGATGCCCCAACAAGAGAGCGGAAAACGCCAGGGAGTGCCGCCGTCGTCTCGGCTGGCCCTCCTCCGAGATAGTGCCCGAGAAGGTTCAAGATGTACGCCTGAGGGGCAGCGATATGGGGGGGACTGGCACAGGGGGGGCATGCACCGACCTGGAGTCGGCGACGCATCGCCGATGGATCGGCGATGGGCCCCCGATAGCGAGCCGCACCTTCCTGGGCGGGTTGGGGCCATCGGGCGCGTTCATCGGGGGTGCGCAGACATGGATGAACGATCCGTGGATTTGGCGCGCGGTCGCCAAATCCATGGATTGGGGGAGGTTCCCCCCGCCAAAGTGCGACCGGTGCCGCCTCGTCCAACGGCGGAAATCCGCGAGTACCCATGGAAACGGGACCCGTCACTAATCCACGCCCCCTTGATCTGTGGTTGCGATCGCCTGAATTCAGTGGGAGGTTGGGGATCGATGCATTCCCCCCTTTGCCTGTCCCCCCCGATCGTTGCCCCGGAACGCCGGGCAGTCTGTGATGTCGGACCTGCGCTTGCCCGACACCACGTGCAGCAAATCGCTGAGGGCCCTCTGCACCGCGGCCACGCCGCCGAATCCATGCACCGCGAAGAGGCACTGCAGGGCAGGCCCTTGGAAATCCTCCATGACCAGGGCAGGCGGCGTTGGTTGGCTGTTGATGATCGAGGCAGGAAAAGAAGGATGAACGTAAACTTTCGGAGGTCCGCGCGGACTTCTTGAATCGGCGGTGGGGCCCCCCTGGAGGCGCCTCCAGCACCACCCCTGGCGCGCTCCGCGCGCCAGGGCTGCCAGGGAGGGGGGCCCAGCGCCGATCCGAGAAATCTGCGCGGACCTCCAAACATTCATGTTCATCAGATGTTTCCTCTTCGAGATGAAGATCCGCAGCTCGCTCTGGATGAAGCCGCTCACCTGCCCGCGAACGAAAACACCCCCCGACACAAGACATGGATCTCAGCTGGCTTGTTTCGCAGATACCCTCATTTAGTTAACTGGCACGGGCGAGGGTATCAGTAGACTAAGCAACATCGCTACAGAGGGAGAACCAGCAATGCTGGAATGGAGTGTCCTGATGCCCCAAAGAATTCCTGAACGCCGCATTGCAAAACAGTCGTGAAGAACCCCATACTCAAAACGCACGGGTCTCCTCCGGGCCCTTCTGGGCGCTTCCAGGCGCATCCGAGGATCGGGTCAGGCCTTTTTCCCGAGGCCCTGATGGCTGTGTGGGGAGTCCTACCTTCCAACGTGCCCCATCCTGAGACCGTCCTGTAAGCACATGGGGCTGGCCCACGAGGTCAAAGACGGTGCGAACAAATTGTAAAAAATCATGTCGCATACCCGCCTTTTCGGCCTTCCAGAGCGTCTGGGGCGGCCCGGCAGCCCCCACAAACCCGCCCCAAAGGACCCCCGAGAAGGGCCCGAGAGGGGGGATAAGGAAACGGAAACATACATAACCATAAAAACTCGGAGGTCCGCGCGGATGTCTTGGATCCGTGCGGGACCCCCCTCCCTGGCGCGCGGAGCCGCCAGGGGGCCCCAGCGCCGATCCGAGAAATCCGCGCGGACCTCCGAGTTATTATGTTTATGTCATTGTTCGTTCCCCTAGGTAAGGAACCGAACTCTATACACCGACGCCTTTGTCTGGCCTCGCACTGAATCTCGCACAAGAAAGCGGATCCTGGTGTATACGGGAACCTGGTGTATACATTCTTCGTTGCATCCCCGGGAACACGGGGAACAAGTATACACCACACCACCCCGGCGGCGTCCCCGACCCTCAAGAACGTCCTGGGACTGAAAGACCACCCGCCACTGCTAGTGTATATGCGGCAGTTCCCGACTGGGGAACCCCAAACAAATCCAGGCGCCCTCCGCCCCAGAAGGGCCCCCGAAACCGCCCGTGCGCCCCGAGAGGCGCCCAGGAGGCCCCGGAGGCCGAGCCCCCCCCCCCCCCCTGGGGCTCCCAGGAGGCCCCCTCCAAGAGGCCACCGAGGTGTGGCCCCCAAGAGGTCTTCCAAGAGACCCCTAGCTGCTTAGCTACGGTGGAGGTTTTAGATGAGGATGCCTTCGACAGGGACCCCAGGGTCTCGCGACCGATGGGCGGCCAAACGTGGACCACCCACCTGGCCTTGAAACAAGAAGGACTGCGCCAGGGTCTGGGCCCCAGGAAGACGTTCCTTATCCAATGCCGCCGCCGTCCCCTACGACCCAAACGCGGTGGCGGGATGGGCGCGGCTACTAGATCCGCCACCGTGCCTTGCCAGGTTGAGGCATGGAAGAGGGTCCAGTGCTGCCTGGGGGGTTCTGTAATTTTCTATTCGGCCCCCCGCAACATCCGTCCCACACCCAGCCGAATGCACCACCCCTACAGTCGGGGCCCTGAAGAAGGAATCCTTTTCGTTGGGGAGGGGCTCCGCGTTCCTTGTGTGTCGCAGCTTGCCTCAGGTTTTCCTTCTGTTTTCGATCGGAAATCGAAGTTTAACTCATGGAAAAAAAGGGCCTCGTTCCTTATTTTGGGTTCCTTGGGTCAAGGCCCCGACTGTACTCCCGAAGGTCCCTGGGCAACCATGGCGCCTCCCTGGCGCTCTCCAACGCGTCCAACATGCCACGGATGGCCTCCAAAACAGACCCGGCAGGCCACCAAGGCCGACAGGATGGCCCAATGAGGCTTCCGTGACGGCCTCGGATGGCCCGCAGTGGCCTCGATGCGGCCGAGAGGCCTCCACGACGGCCCAAGAGGGCTCCAACAGAGGCCTCCGTGACGGCCCCAGAGGGCCCGCAGTGGCCTCGATACGGCCAAGAGGCCTCCACGACGGCCCAGGAGGGCTCCAACAGAGCCTCCAGCAAAGCCCGAAGAGGCCCGAATCGCGGACTTCCCGTGTGTTGGTTGAGGAGTTTCGTCTTCTGTCCGTTTCGAGCTTTCGTCGGCTCAAGACAGCCCAAGAAGCCTCCGGGATGGCCACAAGATGGCCCAGGAGGGCACCAAGCACCAACAGGGCCCCAAGACAGCCCAAGAGGGTGCGAAGATGGCCCAAGAGCGGCCCAAGAGGATCCCAGGTTGGCCCAAAAAGGCACTCAGACGCCCCCGAAGGTCCCCAAGAGTGCTGCAAGACGGCCCAGAGAGTCCCCCAAGGTGGACGCAGAACGCGTCCATACGGCTCAAGAGAACACTCAGACGGCCCAAGGAGCCCCCAAGAGCCCCCGAGGCGCCCCCAAAGCGCTGCCAAAAGGCCTCAAGAGGCCCCCAAAAGCCCCTCAAGAGGCCCCGGGAACCTTCAAGGGGCCACAAGTGTCACACGTGACGGCCTCACGTGCCCCCTCTCGAATGGTGGCCACTTCCCTTCTCAGGCCCAGGGGCGTCAAGACTCCTCCCAGAGCACGAATCGGGAATAGACATATACTCAAACAGGCTACTTCGGCCTGGCCCCGCCTCCGCGCCCCTCCTCCCAACCCCCTCCTTCCTTCTCTTCCGCCCCTGAAGTACAATGAGGAAGACCAGGACGACGTGAGGAGAAGCAGGACGACAACGATGAATGGGGGGGAGGAGGAGGGCGGAGGTAAGAGAAATCAAAAACATATATTCTTCTCAACTATCCCCTACGTTGCGCTGAATCATCCATAGCTATCCATAGCAGGTCCGGGCAGATATGCATAATCAGGTGTACGCTCTGCCGCAACAGATCCCTACAGGTATCTGCAGTCCGAGCATTATTTGTTTTTTGCTGTGCGTTCCCGGACGGCACTCGCGCGAATCGTGACGTGACCGGCCCCCATTTCCACCCCCCGTCATGCCTGTGATCGCCAGGGAATAAAACAATGCTTTCGAAAATGGCACCAGGAGGGCCCCAAGATAGGCCCAAAAACTACCGAGAAACTCCCATCCCTGGGAAAAGCTTTCCCCTTCGATTCCTTGCCCCCCACACACCTCGAGCTCTACCCTTCAGGGTCGGCGGCACAGGCCGCAAGGCCTTTACAATAAACAACGTTTTCCAACATGGCACCAACAGGGCCTAGGATATCCCAAGGAAGCTGCCAAGAAATTCCCATATCGAAAGATCCTCGAAAGCACTTGTGATTGACTCCTGGGCCTGCTCAGGCGGATCCCGATATTCGGATTGGCGGATGCCTCATTGGTCCCACTGCGTGCTCCCGACCACTTCCCTGATCAGTGCAGCTCGCCTGGACTTAATTGTTTGATGGTCTGGTGGGGATACACCCGTCGGAAAGAAGTAGGTAAAATCATGAAGTAGGAAGGCGGAGAAAGTATATTGGGTTCGGGCCCGCCCAGAGAATAACCAAACGTAGCAAAAGCAGATCGGCTCTTGGAATAGGAAGGCGCTGGAAGTGGATTGTGATCTGGGGGTCCAGAAATACCGACTTTCAACGACCGAGGGTTTTTTTGTCCGTCGCAGCCGCGCGCGAAGGCGCACGCAGCGTCAGAGGTCAACCCGGGCTACGGGCGAAGCCTAATTGCCCAGCGGACGCTCACGGCTGCCGAGCCTGCCGCCGAGGGAAGCTTGGGTGGCGCCGGGAGCTGCAGGCAGACTGCGAAGGCTGCCAGGAACGCCAGGCGGCCAGCGTGCAGGGAACCCAGAGGCGAGCCACCAGGATAAGGCTGAATTGAACCTTGTCGCACCAGGCGCCAGAGATCGACGCGCCACAAGCGTGGCGAAACGCAGGGCTGCATAAACAGTCCAACGTGCTAGGCTGCAGGCCAACGGGGACGATCACACATGGCAGACCAAGAAGGCTGGATCACTCCTGGGTAAACCAGTGGGGCAGCGACCCACCAACCCGGCGGCAACGGCAGACACGGCAAGGCTGTGGCGGTGTCTGGAAAACCAGAGACCAGGGAAGCGCAAGCACTCTAGCCAGAGCTGGTCAGTGCGCACGTCACCTCAACGCCAGGGTGCCTCACCAGGCTCCACGGGACCATAATGAAAACCACCAAGCGCGAGGGACTGAGCGGTGTCGCAGGCAGCTGAGGGCTGAGGAAGCCGAACCAGGCTGTGGCCAGGTCCGAGCGAAGGCCAGGGTGAAAACAGCTACAGTCAACGGCCGAGGCCGTGAGGCACGCCGCGCTCCGCCTCACCAGGGGCCAGCGTACCCGGTATTGATAGCCAAGCATCAAGAATTTCTGCAACCACTGCTCCCATACAACAGCTCGGGCGGGTGGGGCCGTCCGGCGGGGCAAGTGGCGCCCCCGACCTCGAGCCCCCCTGTCGGCACTGCTCTCTCCTGCGCCCCGGTGCTCGGAGCTCTGGCCTCTTCCTTGCGCACGTCACTCCGCACGGGCACCGCAGCCCGAGCCCCCGCCGCAGCCTCCGCCAGCCCTGCTCCTCCCTCCCAAGCGGCCCCGCGCCCTCCGCCCAGACTCTCTGCTTCAGCACGCGAGGGGGGCGACTCGCCCGCAGCCAATACATCCCGTCTGGCCCAAGCTTCCGCCGCCTGGTTTCGCACCGCGCGGCATCCCACCGCAGCCCCCCAGCCAGCCCCGCCCCTCCTCCCCCAGCGTCGCTCCTCTCCGCCACGATACGTTTGCCTGGCCTGCCACGCACGGCACGGTACCGCACAACAGTGCAACTCCCCGTTGCAGCCAGCCAGGCTCTCCCCCGCGCGCCATTGTCACGCCCGAGAACGACTCGCGTAACAGACTTCTGGTCGCTGCTGACATGTCAGGCTTCGGAGAATTCGAGACTCTCCGCAACGCACATTCGAAAAACTTCAAACGTTTAAACTGATCGATGCCCCCAGCAGTGAAGAGCCAGGGCGCACTTGCCACTCCTACAAAAGGTCAGATTGGCTGAAGTAACCCTCCGCGCCAATCGTGAAGCGCTTCTATTTCCCACGCGCGGTTGTCCCCCTTCAAGCTCAGAAGCCACCGGCAACTCCCCGATATCATCAGAAACCCTTGGAGCTTGGCCAGGAAATAAAGAGACTGCGCCAATAATAATTCTTGAAAATGCGCAAATATCCCAAGTAAGTGCAGTTACATCCAAACTCATAATATCCACACAGTCTGTAGGGACCGAGAAAGCTCGAACAAGAGCCCCCAGAGGAGATCGCCTATTGCCCCCGCCTTCAGCCCAAGAGTCCCAAACAATCCTCAGACGTCTGCTGCCCCATAGGGAGCTCCGATTACGGTCCCAGCGGACCTTTTTTCCCGGAAAGGGCGCCGGCCCAGGGTTATCTTTTAGGATGGTAGTCTGTCCCCAGTGCCGTGCGGGAGGTGGGCCGGCGGAATTCCGCTAAATAGAAAACGGCGTAAAGTCCAATTCGGCATGAACAACCATGCGTTTCGCGCGTGCCCGCTCGAGGAAAGTCGACCCCCCAACTCGGATCCTCGATGAATAACGGGGTCCGCGGAACACTGTTTTCCTTTGTAAAAAACAACGCGGGGCATTTTTAGCAGAATCCTTGCAACAAAAAAAAAAAATCTGGAACCCCGACCGCGACGCGGAAAAGCGCCCCGCGCGCATGAATTCCGAGGATGTCTCGCCCGTGCCGCGTCCCGCGCGCAGGAATTTCGAGGATGCCTCGACTAATTCGCTTGTTTTGCCAGGATTTCTTTTTGGCAGGATGTCTCGAGCGGAATGTTTGTTTTCAGAATTTGTTGAGGAAAACGCTGGTTTTGCAAAATTGGAGGATGTCTCGAGCGGGGACCTCGTGGGGGGCCAGAATTCAAAGGATGCCTGAGGCGAAATGTGTGTTTTCACGTCCCGCTCGCAGGAATTCCGAGGATGTCTCGCGCGTGCCGCGTCCAGCGCGCAGGAATTTTGAGGATGTCTACGCTAATTAGTTTGTTTTGCCAGGATTGTTGGGATGTTGACAGGATGTCTCGAGCGAAACCCCTTTTTTTATATATAAAAAAAAAAAAAAAAAAAAACAAGGGAATGTCTCGAACGAAACACTGGTTTTGCAAAATTGGGGGATGCCTCGAGCGGGGGCCTCGTGGGGAGCTAGAATTCAAAGGATGTCTCAGGCAAAATGCTTGTTCTCACGTCCCGCTCGCAGGAATTCCGAGGATGTCTCGCGCGTGCCGCGTCCCGCGCGCAGGAATTTCGAGGATGTCTCGACTAATTCGTTTGTATTGCTAGGATTTCCGTAAATTTTGACAGGGTGTCTCTAGCGAAACGCTACATTTTTTACAAAAAAATGTTTGAGGATGTCTCGAGCGAAACGCTGGTTCTGCAAAATTGGCGGATGTCTCGAGCGGGGGCCTCGTGGGGGGCCAGAATTCAAAGGATGTCTCAGGCGAAATGATTGTTGTCACGTCCCGCTCGCAGGAATTCCGAGGATGTCTCGCGCGTGCCGCGTCCCGCGCGCAGGAATTCTGAGGATGTTGACAGGATGTCTCGAGCGATACGCTTGTCCCCAGCACGTTCCGTAGCGCGTCCCCTTGGCACGTCCCGCGGTGCGTCCCCATGGCACGTCCTTTGGCACATCGCCTGGCGCGTCCCTTGAGACGTTCTGCGTCGCATCCTCCTGGCATGTCCACCTGTCAATTAGCTCTGGGGCAGCTACTATGTGGTCAGGCAGCTCGAGCTTAAAATCCATATCAGTTCGGTCAGGACTCGGATGCAAAGGAGGACTCGATCCACAACGCTATAGAGCACAATTTTGGCATGGCACATCGCCATTCAACACGGCGCAGCACAGCACAGACTTCGGCACGGTACATCAAGATCGATACACTCAGCATTGCAACTTGGCACGTTCCTTGGCACGTTCCGTGGGGCGTCCCTTGGCGAGTCCCCCTGGCACGTGGCGTGGCGCGTCCCCTGGCACATCCCGTGGCACATCCATTGGCACGTTCCGTAACGCGTCCCCTTGGCACGTCCCGCAGTGCGACCCCATGGCACGTCCCCTGGCACGTCGCCTGGCGCATCCCTTGGGACGTTTCGCGGCGCGTCCTCCTGACATGTTCCCCTGTCCATTAGCTCTGGGGCAGCTACTATGTGGTCAGACAGCTCGAGCTTAAGATCCAGATCAGTTCGGTCAGGACTCGGATGCAAAGGAGGACTCGATCCATGACGTTATACAGCACATTCGCGGCATGGCACATCGCAATTCAGCACGGTGCAGCACAGCACAGCCTTCGGCAGGGTACATCAAGATCGATACACTCAGCATTGCATTTGCCCGTCACCCAATCAGGTGTCTTTGAAAATGCTGCCATGCGTTACAGTTCTACATTCCTTTCCGGGTTCGTGGGTCGATCATGTTTTCACACGGTCCCCTCTTCCACTGAGCACACCCCTCGCACGTTTCGTGCCCCAGATCGGGGCTCCACACACGGCCCTTGTAGTGTCAGTCGCATGCGAGCCCAGCCTCAGTCTGAGACGCCTCTCACACGTCTCATGCCCTGGATGGGGAGCCCGAAGTGCTGCCCGCATGCGGTCCCCCGCGCACATACCACCGAGGGGCAACGATAGGGGGGCCGACTCGGGGGGGGGGGGGGGGGGGGGGGCAATGTCGACCTTGAATCGGTGGCACATCGCCGATAGATCGGCGGCATGCCGCCGATAACGAATCCGCACGCTCCTGAGCGGGGGAGGGCTGTCAGGTCCCTATCGGCGATCACTGGGAGATTGGTGGGATGACTCCCCCCCTGAGCCAAACTTCCCCCTGGCTTCGCCCCTGATCTTCGTATTGAGGCTCGCCCGCAGCTCCACTGGGGACGCCCCGGACACCCTTCGGGGATCTTCTGACCCAGGTCAATCCAGACCCGGGTCAGTCAGCCCTTGCAGCATCCTGCAAAACAAAGCAAGACCCTGCACCCAAATCCGGGGTCAATGCGAGGGACCCTGCAAGATCCTCTGCAGGACCCTGCGCCCAGACCCGGGTCATTGCGACCCTGGCCCTGCAGGATCCTGCAAGATCAGGCGCTCGCGGTTTTGTGGGGTCCGCGGGGGGGCCAAACGCCACTGCCGCCTCGCGTGCGGCGATCGGGGGGAGGAGGAGGAGGAGGAGGAGGAGGAGGAGGAGGAGGAGGAGGAGGAGGAGGAGGAGGAGGAGGAGGAGGAGGAGGGACCCCCGTCTGCGTTGACCCCCGTCTCAAGGCTCCCGAGCCCTCCCTCCAGCGCTTCCTCCTGCCCTCCTGCCGCCCGCGGCGCGCAGCGACCCCCCCCCCCCCGCGTGACACACAGCTGCCAGTGGTCGAGCTCATCGCCAGGCTGCTCCCAACAGCCTCCTCCTCCTCCTCCTCCTCCTCCTCCTCCTCCTCCTCCTCGTCCTCGTCCTCGTCCTCGGCCTCGGCCTCGCCCTCGCCCTCGCCCTCGCCCTCGACTGGTGTTTCGCTAGAGGCCTAAATGGAAAAAGAAAGACCGCAGAAAAGTCCCACAAGAAAGACGGGGCGCCCTAGATTTTGGACGCCCGAAATGGGTACGGAAAAAATGGGTACAATGCCCAACAACACATGTTGTCCCAAACCAACAGCGGCCGCTGTTGGGCAGGCGGCCTTCTGTCTCGAATGGACACAGGCCGCGGCGGCGTGGACAGCGAATCCTGCTCAAAATGCACAGGAACTGCTGTTGTGCATTGCACCCATTCTTTCCGTACCCATTTCGGGCGTCCAGATAGATCACCTGGTAAGGCCGCCATGTCGCAGACTTCCCCACAGCTTGCTCCAGAATCGTTCCGTTTTTGGCCCGGACGGCCACGCTTCCTTTTGCAACAGGCACTACGGCGCACACGGCCGTGCCCCCACCCCTGTCCCCACAGGGCGAACTTCGGCAACCCTGAACCCCCAAAACACGTTGTCACCTCTTGGGGGCGCATGCTTAACTTCCGCCGCCTTCCGCCGAGCTTCCGCCAGCTTCCGCCGGCGGAGGCGGCCTGGGCTCACCTCCGCCGACCGCGAGCTTCCGCCGCGGAGGAGAGGACAACTCCGTCGATCCTCGCAGGCAAGAGGCCCTTCTCGGAGCGCGTCATACATAGACGGCGTCCTTCTCCTCTTCACCTCTGCTGCCTCCAGGGCGCTCTGCTCATGAAGAAAAAACCACGTAAACGTAAACGTTTGGCGCCCCGCGCGGATGTCTTGGACTCGCTCTGGGCCCCCCTCCCTGGCGCGCGGAGCGCGCCAGGGGCCGGCGGCGCCAGTGGCGCCGCTGGGGGGGGCCAGGCGCGAGTCCAAGAAATCCGCGCGGAACGCCAACAGTTTATGTTTGTGTGGCTTTTTCTGCTTCGACCTGTGGGGGGATCCGCGCCTGCCGCGCGCCGGTGGGGCGTTTCGAACCGCGGAACCTGCGCGCTGCCCGTGTCGACGGCCGCTGCGGGCCAGAACTGCGCACCGCCCGCCACGACCTGGCTCCGCACGCTGTCGGCGACGGGCTGGCTGTGCCCGCCATCCTCATCAACCTTGGAGCGCGTTTTTCCCGGAAAGGGCTTCAGGCCCAGGGTTCTCTTTTAGTTTGTTTCCCTTCGGTTTTGACGGGAAGAGGGCCGGCGGATTTCTTTTGCGATAAATAACGAATGGGAAGAGGGCCGGCGAATTAAAATTTCAGGATGTCCCTAGCGAAACGCTTGTGTTTCAGAATTGATTGAGGATGTCTCGAGCGAAACGCTTGTTTTGTGTTATAGATTGTCCTCTCCTGGGGACCAGAATTCAGAGGATCTCTCAAGTGAAATGCTTGTTTTCACGTGCCCAGGCCTTGAGGAAGTCTCGATCGAGATGCTTGCTTGCACGTGTCCAGGTTGCCCAGGCAGAGGTCTAGCGCCAGGATTTGTTGAGGATGTCTCGAGCGAGACGCTTGGTTTCACGCGTCCTCGTCGCCCAGGCGGATGTGTAGCATGAGGATGTGTTGAGGAAGTCTCGATCGAGATGCTTGCTTGCACGTGTCCAGGTTGCCCAGGCGGATGCCTAGCATGAGAATGTGTTGAGGATGTGTTGAGCGGAACGTTTGTTTTCACGTGTCCAGGTCGCCCAGGCGGATGTCTAATATGAAGATGTGTTGAGGATGTCTCGAGCGAGACGTTTGCTTTCACGTGTGCAGGTCGCCCAGGCGGATGTTTAGAATGAGGAGGTGTTGAAAACGTCCCGAGCGAAACGCTTGTCTTCACGTGCCCAGGTCACCGATGCGGACGTCTCACATGAAGATGTGTTGAGGATGTCTCGAGCGAACCACTTGTTTTCACGTGTCCAGTTCGCCCAGGCGGACGTCTAGCATGAGAATGCGTTGAGGATGTGTTGAGCGGATCGCTTGTTTTCACGTGTCCAGGTCGCTCAGGCGGATGTTTAGCATGAGGATGTTGACAGGATGTCTCGAGCGAAACGCTTGTCCCCAGCACGTTCCGTAGCGCGTCCCCTTGGCACGTCCCGCGGTGCGTCCCCATGGCACGTCCCATGGCACGTCGCTTGGCGCGTCCCTTGAGACGTTCCGCGGCGCGTCCTCCTGGCATGTCCCCCTGTCAACTAACTCTGGGGCAGCTGTTATGTGTTCAGGCAGCTCGAGCTTAAGATCCAGATCAGTTCGGTCAGGACTCGGATGCAAAGGAGGACTCGATCCACAACGCTGTAGAGCACAATCGCGGCATGCCACATCGCCATTCAGCACGGCGCAGCACAGCACAGACTTCGGCACGGTACATCAAGACCGACACACTCAGCATTGCAACCTGGCACGTTCCTTGGCACGTTCCGTGGGGCGTCCCTTGGCGAGTCCCCCTGGCACGTCGCGTGGCGCGTCCCCTGGCACATCCCGTGGCGCATCCATTGGCACGTTCCGTAGCGCGTCCCCTTGGCACGTCCCGCGGTGCGACCCCATGGCACGTCCCCTGGCACGTCGCCTGGCGCGTCCCTTGGGACGTTCCGCGGCGCGTCCTCCTGGCATGTCCTCCTGTCAATTAGCTCTGGGGCAGCTGCTATGTGTTCAGGCAGCTCGAGCTTAAGATCCATATCAGTTCGGTCAGGACTCGGATGCAAAGGAGGACTCGATCCACAACGCTGTAGAGCACAATCGCGGCATGCCACATCGCCATTCAGCACGGTGCAGCACAGCACAGCCCTCGGCAGGGTACATCAAGATCGATACACTCAGCATTGCTTTGCCCGTCACCCAGTCAGGTGTCATTGAAAACGCTGCAATGCGTTACATTTCTATATTCCTTTCCAGGTTCGTGGGTCGATCATGTTGTGTTTTCGGCGATAATGGGCATTATGGGGGGGTAAGGGGGGGAGGAGCAAGGGGGGGGGTATAATGTAACGCCTCCCCCCACCGTGCGCACGTGGTCAGTGCCTGGAGCGCACTGGGGGGGAGGGTGTTACGTTATGGGGGGGGGTCAGGGGCTTTAATGCCCATTGTGCCACAAGCAATAAAGAAACACGCTCCTTGGGCGTTGCTCGACGGAGGGGCGATAGGGGAGGAACGTGCACCTCTTCGTGCCCCGTTGGAGTCCCAATGGGGCCTCTTTTTTAGGGCCTCATAAGGTGCGCAAAAGGTGCACCTGTCTTCCCCTGTACCCTCCCCCCATGTGTCGCCCCCCCCCCTCACCCCATAAGCAGCGACCGACCACCTGGCCCTGCCCACTGTCCGGGCTGGCTTGCGCCCGGTCGGCGGCGCACGCGATGGTCCCGCTCTGCGGGGCCTCCTCGGCCGTCTGGGCTGCCGGCCCTGCTTGGACATCTGCCTGGCCGTCCTGATCTGCCGTGCCCTCGTCAGATCGGGCTCCCTGTGGCACCGCAGAGCACATCTGCGCCTCGGGGGGAGGAGCGCTCTTCGGAGCTCGAGACGTGCTCCTGGCCCGGTGGCTCTGCCGCGCACGGATACGGCCGCAGTCGCTGTCAGGGGCTTCGGGGACTTGCACCGCTATGCCATCTCCAGCCGCCTTTGCCTGTGCGGTGCTCCTCAGCAAGGCGATTGCGGCTTGGACGGACTGGACACAGCGACTGCGGCTGCCCTCGGCAAGGTCTTTGTAGCCAGCATCCTCGGATATCCAGATTATGACAGAGCCTGACAACCTGGACGCCACGCCACTGAGATCAATATCCTGTCCTGTAGGAGCAAATATGACCACATGTGGCTTCTGGCGCATGTGATCCAAATCGCTCCAGAATTGCAGTATCTGGCTCGTATCCCCAAAGGTGCGTGCACTGAAGCCTTGCTGAACGATCCGCTCTCGGTCAACGTCTTGAATGGGTAACGCTTTGGATATGAACAACTCCATGGGCTCAATGATGCCTGCATCCGCTCCAGGAGGCAAAGGCCTACGATACAGCAAGGTCTGTTTTTCGTCACGGTAGAGCCGGACAACATCGGACAACTCCTCGAACACGTGCACCACTTTGGTTTTGCCGAACCTGCCCGGGTCGACGGCGATGCCACACTTCTTCTTGAACTCCTGGAGGAACCGATCGAACAGGACCCCGTGCTCGGCAGCCTTGCAACACTGCAGCACCTGCTTGGTCTGGCTCCTCAGCGAGTTCAGCCTCTCCGCAATTTCGGGGCGCTGCTTGCAGGACTGAGAGCGCGGCCTCTGTGCCTCGGGGGGCGGCCGAAAGCAGCGCTTGCTTCTCGACCTCTGGTCCTTATCCCAATCCCCCTTCCCAGACTTGCAACTCCTCCCCTTTCCAGACCAGCAGAATCGTTTCAAGTGCTCTTGACGTCCAGGCCCATGCCTAATGCTGTGGCTGGAGCTGGTTCCACCAAGGGCGCCCTTGCTTCTTCGAGGGCGCCTTTCGGTTCGACGAGGGTTGGCCCATCGACAGCGGCTGATACTTCTGCTGGGCAGCAAACAGGCCAATCGCTCAGATAAGCTCTCAGAGGCGGTCTCACGAAACCCTTCGAGGGCCTCACAAGTGTTCAGCAGGAGGTACTCAGAAGGGACCTGTGGGACTCAGGGAATCCCACAAGTCCCCACGAAGCCTGCTCCAGATTACGGCACCGTGGCAGGTGGACAGAACGACCGGGCGCCATCTGGTCAGTCGGCAACTCGCAAGCCGTCGTGCTGCAACTCACCTCGAGATGCCCGCACACAAAGGTGTGTCGTCGCCGGCCGCTCCAGTACTCGGAAAGCAGAAGAGCAGACCGCGAGACGCGCTGTACAGCGCAGCACAAGGGTAACACGCGCATTCCGTAACAACGAAACAACGCCCGAATGTCGTGGGGGTGGATAGTGAGGCCCCCTGCTAGCCAGAGCCTCCGCCACATATGGTACCGCAGGACACACAAAACGTCGGATAGGATGCACATACGATCAGCCATGAACTGTTACTCAGGGTTTGTACGTGCTTGATCTGCGCACAGAACTGTTCCTTTGCTCAGTCGCACGGCTAGTTTATGACCCCCCGCCCAGCTCATCGCGCAAGTGCAAGCGTTTCCATCGCAGCATAGCAAAAAAGGCTCCAAACAATCGTAGCACATTTAGCCGGCAAGTATAGCAACTACCGCTGCAATACATAGTGCATAGTAACCCATTACACAACATAGTATGATTCTCGACGTGGTGCTGCATATCATACCGGATCACGTCGCAGCACACAGACACAATAGCAAGCTGTAACACACTAGCTTCTAGCAGAACGCAGATGTTTCATAGCGTTTGCGTAACTGATGCGTTGCGTTTGAATGGGTTACGCATTCCGCTTATATTGCATCGAACTGCATATCATCGCTGTTCAGTGCTTGTGTGGTGCGCTGCGGTGTGTTTGCAATGACTTTGCATTGCGCTATCATAGATGTTGCACTTGCGCTTGCGCACAGCATTATGCAGATGTGCATTGCATTGTTTGTTAGGTGCCGCGCTACGTTCGCAATACTTCCCCGTTATGACTGCACTGCGTTGCGTTTCCACTGCTTCTGCACTCCAACTGCTCCCCCTTGAAGGACTGGGATGGGGAGCATAACGGGCCAGACGGATCCCTGCACCGGCACACCGGCGGAACACAGCGACGGCTGCTCCCAGGGGAGCAAACAGGTACCGATACCGCGACTCCAGGGACCTCTCCCAGGCTGGGTAGTCGAAGCCAATCTGGCGCCAATCTGGCAGGCCCAACCTGGCAAACGGGGGCAATCTGGCGAGGGAGCCAGCGCGAATCCGGTCTGGCGAATCACCCAAATCATCCAGCTTGGCCGGGCCAGACTGGCCCTTGGGGCCCAGTCCACTCTGACAGTCTGGCCTTCGACTACCCAGCCAGGGTGCATCCTGGCACGCCTGTCTCGGGAGCGGCCAAGAGGGGGGTGTCCAAGAGGGGGGGGTGCAAATCATGACCGGCGGCATGTGCGCGGCCCAACGGGGGGGCCAGGGACGTAATGAAACAAGAAGAGGCGCCATGAAATCTGGGGAAATATCATGGCCCCCGCCATGATATCCACCCCCCCCTAGTCATCACCCCCCTCTTTTCCGCCCCCGACTGTCGAGGAGCATCGAGCCGTGGCGACGAGGGCTCTCCAGGACGAGCCGCGGCATCGGCGCCTGCCCCTCCCCCGAGCACCGGCACGCCTGCGGCAGGCGGCAGGCAGCGAGGGGCACCCACAGCAGAGATCGGCGACTCTCCCCCTCCTCCTCCTCCTCCTCCTCCTCCTCCTCCTCCTCCTCCTCCTCCTCCTCCTCCTCCTCCTCCTCCTCCTCCTCCCTCCCTCCTCCTCCTCCTCCTCCTCCTCCCTCCTCCTCCTCCTCCTCCTCCTCCCTCTCCTCCTCCTCCTCCCTCCTCCTCCTCTCCTCCTCCTCCTCCTCCTCCTCCTCCTCCTCCTCCTCCTCCTCCTCCTCCTCCTTCCTCCTCCTCCTCCTCCTCCTCCTCCGGGCGAGGGCCTCCCTCGACGGACTTCTCCGCCGCGCGCCGGGGAGGCCCGACGAGGACAACGTCGTGCCCCCGTGGGGCCCCAACGGCGCCGATCGCAGACCACACCCCGGCGGAACCACGCCCTTCGTGGGGAGACCGACCGCCGACGGGTACCCACGCCGCCACTCTTAAGTCGGGCGTGTCCCCCATACAGGGGGGTTTTGGACGAAAATAAACAAAATACCCCAAACATACTCCAAAATGGTCAAACAATACTCGACAAGTAGTCCCAGACTGCTTGTTATACTGTTTTTGGATATCCCCCCTGTAGAGGGGCAGGCCCGACTGAACGCTGCTCCCCACACCTCTCCCGGGGCGCGCTCTGGCCAGCACCTCGAGGCGCAGCCGACCGTGGCGGCGAGGGCCTCCCGGGAGCCCCGCCAGAGGCGAAGACGAGGGGAGGGCAGCGGCATCGGTACCCTTTCCTCCTCGGGCTCTGCAGCCGCCGACACGAGACTGCGCTCGTGTTGGGTCGGGCCTGGGGCCCCCTACAGGCGGATTTTGGACGAACAACAAAAACATATGCCCCAATGAATGCCCCCAAACTGTTCAAAAAAATTGTCAACAAATCGTCCCCAGATTATGTTTTTACAATTTCCCGGAAAGGGCTTACGCCCAGGGTTCTCTTTTAGATGGTTTACTCCCGGATTTGACTTGAGGTGGGCCAGCGAAGTTCTTTTGCGATAAATATCGAGGTCGAGGTGGGCTGGCGAATTAACATTTGAGGACGTCTCTAGCGAAACGCTTGTTTTGTGTTATAGGTTATCCTCTCCTGGGGACCAGAATTCAGAGGATCCAAGTGAAAGTCTTGTCTTCACGTGCCCAAGTCTTGAGGATGTCTCGAGCGAGACGCTGGGTTTCACGCCTTCAGGTTGCCCAGACAAATGTCTAGCATGAGGATTTGTTGAGGATGTCTCGAACCAGAGGCTTGTTTTCACGTGTCCAGGTCGCCCAGGCGGGTGTCTAGCATGAGGATGTGTCGAGGAAGTCTCGATCGAGACGCTTGCTTGCACGTGTCCAGGTTGCCCAGGCGGATGTCTACCATCAGGATGTGCTGAGAACGTCTTGAGCGAAAAGTGTGTTTTCACGTGTCCAGGTCGCCCAGGCACAGCACAGCCCTCGGCACGGTAAACAAATATCGATACCCGTAGCATTGCAGCCTGGCATGTTGCCTGGCACGTTCCGCGGAGCGTCCCGTGGCGAGTCCCCCTGGCACGTCGCGCGGTGCATGTCCATTGGCACGTTCCGTAGCGCGTCCCCTTGGCACGTCCGGCGGTGCGTACCCATGGCACGTCCCCTGGCACGTCGCCTGGCGCGTCCCTTGGGACGTTCCGCGGCGCGTCCTCCTGGCATGTCCCCTCTGTCGATGAGTTCTGGGGCAACTACCATCTGCTCGGGCAGCTCGAGCTTCAGATCCAGATCAGTTCGGTCAGGACTCGGATGCAAAAAGGACTCGGTCCACAACACCATATAGAACACAATCGTTCTTTGAAACGTTGCCGTGCCTTACATTTCTATATTCCTTTCCGGGTTCGTGGGTCGATCATGTTTTGAACATTCCCCCTGCAAAGGCACAGGCCCGACTTCACGCTGGTGCCGCCCAGCCTGCGGCGCGGAGCTGCGCGAACGCCTCGCGGGATGCGAGGACGACCTGGGCTTGGCGCTGCCCTCCGGCAGCTCCCTGCCGGACCTCGCGCGCCCCCGCTCGCAGGCTGCGACTGGCCTCGACAAGCATGTTATGGGCCTGTTTTCCACCTCCACCACCATAAGTTGGAGGATGGGGAGGAGGTGGAGAACGAGGAGGAGGAGGAGGAGGAGGAGGAGGACGAGGATGAGGAGGAGGAGGAGGAGGAGGAGGTAGAGGTGGCGGAGGAGAAGGAGAAACCCCTCCCCCTCTAACTCATGGTGGTGGTGGAAAACAAGCCCATCAGCAGGAGTCACAGAAAACGCCATGCACGGAGGAGCAGAAAACGGCGTAGACACATGGCGGGTTCGTGCGGGGTCGGCGTGCGCACAAGTTTCTGATACCGCGTCGGTCGTTTCCCCTTGAACCGCTCGCGGCCACGATCTCTCTTTCAAAGTTGCATTCCTCCGACCGCAGTGGTGTCACAATGCCCGATCGGCGCCTCAGCGACGCAGAATGCAACCTTGAACGCCGTCGCCGGCGTCGCCGGCGCGCCAACGCTGCATGAACCTACCGTAAGCATAATCTCACCAGCCCTCTGGGCTGAGTAATTTGACGAGTTGTTCTCAGCTCCCTGCCACAACCCCTCCTTCCCCTGCTCGCAGGAGGAAGTGATCACTGTTCCTTACTAATACACTCCCCCTTCCCCAGGCGACTGGCGTCCAACCAGGAACCATGAGGACACCATGACGACCCGCCCCCCCAACATCCCTGTCAAAAACTATACAAACCGCATTCTGCCTCCATATTTGGAGCATCCGCGGCCAACCCGATGCGGCCCCAGCCCCGCACCATCCCTGTCAAAAACAATGCGAGGTACGCTTTGGGGCAAAGTCTTGGGTCATGCTCGTGATGCCCGCAAACACCTTGTACTGTTTTTGTCAAGGACGGCGGGGGTGCCAACATGTTCCCTGCCGTGCGCAGGGCTACCATCCGTGACAAAAAAACAACACAACATGCACCTCACGGCTAAATCTGGATCACGCGCGGCCATCCCGCGATCACTGTCACATGGTTTTTAACAGGGACCGCGGGGGAGGTGGCGCGTGGCCTGCTGTGCGCAGGCCCACCAGACACAATGATGGGCATTGGTTTTCGACAAGGATGGCGGGGGCCGACATGTTTCCCGATGTGTGCTGTCACGTGTGCAGGCGCACAAGGCGCACTCTGCACGTGCCCCGAACATTGCGCAACTGGCGCGGCTGGAGTGTGCGGCACATCTGGAGCACTCGGAGCACGTGGCGCATCTGGCGCACAAGGCGTGCCTGGCACGCTCGGGCCCCAGGGGTGCCTGGCGCGCGTGGGGCCCCTGGCACGCGTGGCGCACCTCGCCCAAGCGTCGCGCACCTGGGGTCGGCTATGGTTCCCAGTAGCTGTCCATCTAAAGACGACCGCTGAACATGCTCAGGCTCGGGTGTTATTTCTGTGTTGGGAGGGCGGGTGGGAATGAGCTCGACGGCTTGCGGGCGGGTGGGTAGCTTGATCACTGTTCCCTATTAATAAACACCCCCTCCCCCAAGCGACTGGGGGCCAACCAGGGTCCATGCCCCCCCCACCATCCCTTGTAAAAAACAATACCAAACACACTCCGCCCCCAAATTAGGAACATGCGCAGCCAACCCGATGCGCCCCCCCCCCTCCCCCCGCCATCCCTGTCAAAAGAAACAATGCAGAGTACATTTGGCGGCGGCGGCGGCTGCGGCGGTTGCGGCGGCGGTGGCGGCGGCTGCGGCGGCTGCGGCAACGGCGGCAACGGCGGCGGCGGCGGCGGCGGCGGCGGCGCGGCGGCGGCGCGGCAGCGGCTGCGGCGGCGGCGGCGGTTTGGCAGGGAGGGCGGCGCGGCGGCGGCGGCGGCAGCGGTGGCGGAGGCGGCGGCAGGCCGCGGCGGCGGCGGCGGCGGCGCGGCGGCGGCGGCGGCGGCGGCGGGCAGCGGCGCGGCGGCGGCGGCGGCGGCGGGCAGCGGTGGCGGCGGCGGCGGCGGAGGCGGCGGCGGCGCATTGGCCCCCAGTAGCTGCCCATCCAAAGACGACTTCTGAATATGCTGAGGTTCGGGCCAGATTCGGGTGCTACGTATGTGTTGGGAGGGCGGGTGGGAGTGAACGAGACGGCTTGCGGGCGGACGGGGGGGGTCTTGACCCTTCCCCTCTACCCCCTCCGCTGAGCCTGGAATGTGGGGCCGCCCGAGCCGTCAGAACGCCCAAGATGGCTCCATGAGGGCCCAAGACAACCCAGGACGGCCTCCAAAATGGCTCAAGATACCTCCACATCGCTCACAATAACCTCCGACATGCCTCCAAGACGGCCCAAGATAGCCCGAAGATGGTTCCGAGTGCCCTCCGAGCATCCCAAGGCTTTGTCCAAGAGAACACAATCACTCAAAACCTTTTTATCGTTATTTCACTTCCGATGGGCCTCAGGATGGCCCCAAAATAGCCCAAAAACGGCCCAAGAAGGGTCCAAAACGGCCCCAAGAACGCAGAATACACTTGGAGACTCCGAAGGGGGGCACATTTCTCCCCCCCCCCTCCTCTCATCGACTGATCGGTCTCCTCCCAGATGGCGCCAAGAGAACCAAAAGGGGCAACCAACATCACCAGGGAGGCGCCCAGCATCACCAGGGCGGCCCCCAAGCGGCCCCCAAGAGGCCCCAACGAGAGACCAAACAGGCTCCAAGAGGCTCCTGAGAGGCATCAAAAACGCTCCAAGAGGCCCAAAGGACCACCGAGACCTCTCCTCTTCCTCCTCCTCCTCCTCCTCCTCATCCTCCTCCTCCTGCTGCTTCTCCTCCTCCTCCTCCTCCCTCCTCCTCCTCCTCCCTCCTCCTCCTCCTCCTCCTCCTCTCCTCCTCCTCCTCCCCCCTCCTCCTCATATTCCTCCTCCTCTTTCTCCCTTATTCGGGGCAATATGATCTGATGTGTTCCTAAACCCGTTCGGAAAAAAACATTGGCAACGCGTGACACATCCCCTCCGCCTCCTCCTCCTCTTCCTCCTCCTCCTCCTCCTCCTCCTCCTCCTCCTCCCATTGAGGGCAGCATGATATGATGTTGTTCTAAACCGTTTCGGAAAGGCTTTGGCGGCATTGTGGGACCCCGCATCGGGGCCGCCACTTGAGTGGACACCCAAGGAGGGCCAAGATGGTTCCCAGAGGGCCCTGGCCAACCAAAGATGGCTTTCAAGATGCCTCACGCTAGCCGGCGCTGGCTCAAGATAACCTCCGACATGCATCCAAGACGCCCCGATACAGCCAATCGCATATGGCAGTCTCCTCCTCCTCCTCCTGTTCCTCCTCTCTCACTCGGGGCAATATGATATGATGTTTTTCTGATTGTGGCAAGTCAGTCAATATCTGTCGAAGGGGACTCCAGTAAGACTTCCGGTAGAGCCAAAACGGCGCAAGGTCGACCTGTTCAACGGTTGAACTTCAACCTACCTTTGGACGGCTCATACAAGAAATGCCCCACCCTCCCCGCACCCCCGAAAGGCATCCAAAGCGGCTGTCGCACTGTATGCTTCTACGCTGCCCTTATCAAGGTAACTCACCGGGCGATCGTGTCTGGATGGGCTGGTGGGAATACGCCGTATCGGATACACTTTTTGGATTTGCGGTCCGCAAGGAAAAGTCCAGAGGGCGGAATGAGGCAATGGGGCGCAATGCCAGATGATTACCATGCAAAGACCACTGGGCGAATGCCAGCGGAAGAGAAGCTGCCACGGATGGACAACAAACGAGCACAAACCAGACCCGCAGGTGGGAAACCTGACCAGAGGCCGGGAGAAAGAGAGCAGAGCGGCAGAGAGCGCAGGCGGAAGGGCCGTATCGGATACACGAAGCGTCAAGAAGTTGTTCAGGAGCCCGCGCGGATTTATTGGGTCGGCGTTGGGCCCCCTGGCTGCGCCTCCGAGGGGGGGGCTCCAGCGCCGATCCAAGAAGCCCCCGCTGAGATCCGACATAGTATGTCTATGCCTTCCTTTGTTCCCCGAGTGCAGCGCGAAGGGAGGATCAAGATAAAAATCCAGACGGGGATAACTCGGGAATCTCTGAGAGCCGCCATGTCTGGAGCACGTAGAAAGCGCCGCGGCCGTTCCAGAGCGCTCCGGAAAGCTCTGAGAGCGTTACAGAACGCTCTGGAGCGATGTGTTCCCATTCTACGCCTGCCTGACAATGCCCCCCGACCGCCTGACGCCAGCACCCATGACGCCGACTGGAACCTTCCTTCTCTGGGCAAGCGCTCTATGAGCACGGACATTTTCCGCGGTTCTCATCGGTCATCGGTCGCAAGAGCGCCTTTTCAGGCAGCCAGAGAATCGCGAGATGCTTCCAAGAGGTGGCGCCAGCGTCCCGATCGTGGCCTGACTTATGGAAAGATGATGTTTCTCAGCGTGGGCCCCAAGTATTGGGCCCTCGGGCTCTCAGTGTGCAATATGCGTAGTGCAGTGTGTGTATGGTGCTACCTAGGTGTTGCAACCTATACGGCGCAATGTATGCGATGCGATCTGTGTATAGTGAGAAGTGTGTTGGCATCTATGAGGTGTGTGAAAAACGGTGCGTCATTTGGGATGTGATTTTCGTGCTGCAGTAAATTTTGACCGCATCCGCGCGTGACCACATCCAATGCTCGTGCAAACATCCCACCCACCCACCCGCAACTTGCTGGCAAAACTCTAATGGGCGGCGACAACGACTATGACGATGACGATGACGATGTTCATGACGACGGTGGGGACGGTGGGGACAATGGTGACGGCGACGATGGTGATAAGGCTGATGGTGGTGATAGTGGCGACGGCAACGATGGCGCTGGCGATGATCATGATGATGATGACGATGATGACGATGATGATGTTGATGTTGACGATGACGATGATGATGATGATGATGATGATGATGATGATGATGATGATGATGATGGTAATGATGATGATGACGATGATGATGACGCCGACGACGACGATGGTTATGGTGAGGAAAGTGAGGAAGCTCGCCCGCAGAACTTTGACAGGGGCGACAGCATCGACGATGACGACGATGACGGCGGCGGTGTTGAGGCCGACGTTGTTGATGGTAACGATGCTGACGATGGCGATGGCAATGCTGCAATGCTGACGCTGGCGATGATGACGTCGATTGTGCTGATGAGGATGATGAGGAAGTGCACGCCCGCAGAAACTCCGAATCTCTGGCATAGTTTGGACTGAAGACCGTTGGCGCTCCGTTGTTGCTTGCACGCCCCTGTGGGGACATGGAAGGGGCATCTACAAGGCTGGTAGGATTCCGACGTGAGCGCACGGAGATGCGCGCACGTGGCCGCCATGACCTCGTTTGGCAGAGCTGGCGGGCTCGCGATGATTGTTGAACCTTGTCGCCGTGCGCCGCCGTGCGGCCCGCGTGCGTCATTTGGCAGAGTGCCTACATTCAACTGGCACTCTCTGGACTTCAACGGGTGCGCGCGCAGAATACTGTCAACTTCTTCGCTGACGAGCCAATCGTGCTTGAAAGTCTTTGAGTGACTCTCTTCAACGAGCAAGAACACCCATGGCTTGTGGATGAGTTTGACCTGCGCGCGGCGGCGCGCGCGTAAGACCCGCATCGTATTTGTTGCAAGGCGTTCTGAACCCAAACCAGCTCTCCGATCACTGATTGAGCACGGCACAGAATTGCTTGCAAGAGATGGCTTGGGGGGTTGCACCCGCCTGGCCGGGATGAGATTGTTTGATATTTTGTGTGAACGATCGCGTGCATAGCACAAACGACCAGAAGCCATGCGAAAGGGCGTCGGAGAGGTCCAGGAGGACGGGGGCGTGAGTCGAGTCTCTCTTTCAGGAGATGCGATATGAGGGCCCCGACGGCGCCGATCGCAAACCACACCATGGCGTGACAACACCTCTGCTGGGGAAACCAAGAGGCATCCCATATACGAAGGGGAACTGGGACACACAAATAAATACACACACAAATAACCATATTCCCAATATTTTCTCATATTTTCTGGGATTCTGTCTTCCCCCCCACTTCCCACATTTTCCCATATTTTCCGGGGAATCGACGATTAATTGTGTCTGTGTGTTGTCTTTCCTCCTGAATATACTGCCACTCCCCAGACCTCTCCCCTCAGGGCGCGCTCTCACCAACATCTCGAGGCGCGTCCGGCGGCGGCGACGAGAGCCTCCTAGGAGGCGTTAGGTCGGACATGTCCCCCTACAGGCGGATGTTGGAGGAAAAAAACAGAAAATACTCTCAAACCTTTTTTGTCGGCAAAAGCATACCCCCAAAATCGCCCCCAGACTACTCTTCGCCATTCTTTGCATACTCCTCCTGTAGAGGGGCGTGCCCGACTTCAGGGTAGCGGCCTGAGCCTGCCGTCGCCGAATCACCCGACAACGGTCGGGAGCGGCCAAGAGGGGGGTGTCCAAGAGGGGGGGGGTGCAAATCATGACCGGCGGCATCTGCGCGGCCCAGCGGGGGGGGCAGGGACGCAATGAAACAAGCAGAGGCGCCCTGAGATCTGGGGAGATATCATGACCCCCGCCATGATATCCGCCCCCCCCTAGTCATCACCCCCGTCTTTTCCGCCCCCGAAGAAGCGCTCCCCTAACGGGGACTCCAACGACGGGTGTTTCGGCCAGTGACCCGGCGAACCCAACCCTCCCCGATGTGGGCAACGCTGCAGTGCCGGAAAGAGGCCCCAAAGTGGCAACTCTCGGCACGTCTCCAAAATACCTGTCAGTGAGTACCTGTTACGGTGACGCTGACCGAAACTAAAACGACGCGAAGATCGGGACAACATCGGATCGGGATAACTCGAAACCTCTGAGGATCGGCGGGTCTGGAGGATGTATTGGGCGCCGCGGCCGCTCCAGAGCGTTCCGGAACGCTCTGAGAGCGCTCCGGAACGCTCTGGAGCGATTTATCCCGATCCTAGCCCTGTTTTAACGGTGCCGCTGACGGATAACTTTTTCGAAGGATTGCAAAAAAAACCGAAGTATTGCAAAAAAACCCTGGATTGCAAAAAAACCTGGGTTTTTTTTGCAATCCTGGGTTTTTTTTTGCAATCCTGGGCTTTTTTGCAATCCTTCGTTCGAGGGGGCGGGCCGGGCGCTGGCCGCTTCTGCCGGGCCGGGCCTGGCCGCCGGGGCGCCGCCGGCGCCTTCGCGGGCCGGCTCCCGGGCCTCGCCCTCGAGGGGGCCACCCTCCGCCACCTCGGGGGTCTGCCGCGCCCCGCCGCGCTGCCCGGGAGGGTCAGGAGGCAACTGCTGGGAGGTCCTCGTCGGGAGGACTAGGGAGGATCAAGCCAGACTAAGCGGGATTAAGCCGGATTTCGGACCAGGGCAAAACCAGATCGGACAAGAACGGGAAGCGCCGCTTTAGTCTTATGTGCGTATCTGGCAAAGAAGAAAAGGAAGGCGAGGACAACGAGGAGTCGATGACGAGGGCGAAGTGGCGAACGTGAGGATAGCGAGGAGGAGCATGAGGACAACGAGGAGGAGGAGAAGCACAAGGACGAGGACGAAGAGAACGAGGGCGAGTACGAGGAGGAATGCGAAGGGCGATGACGACGACGACAACGACGACGACGACGACGACGACGACGACGACGACGACGACGACAGAGGACAGTAAGAGGTAATTCGAGAAAGACGTTGCTCCTGGCGCCGCACGGGGTTGTCTTGGGGCCTGTTCAGGGCTTCTTGGGGGCCCCTTGGGTCCTCTTATGGGCTTCTGGGGTCTTCTTGAGCTGTCTGGGCGCGTCGTGGGGTTCTGTGGGAGCTTTCTTAGGCCGTCTCGGCGCCATCTTGGGCCGTCTTGCGGCTTTCTTGGGCCGTTTGGGGGCCTCCTGGGGCGCTCCCGGGAGTCTCTTGGGGCCTTCTTGGCCCTTCTCGGGCCGTCTTGGGGTTCTTGTGAGCTGTCTGGGTGGCTCCTAGAGCGCTCTTGGGGGTCTTCCTGGGGCGCTCTTGGGGCGCTCTTGGGCACTCCTGGGCGTCTTTTGGGCCTCCCTTGGGCAGTTGGAAAGCCCTCCAAGAGCGATTCGAACACGACGTCGATTCGGAGTCCCCTCTTGGGCCGATGTTTGGAGGATGTCTCGAGCGAAACGGCATTTTTTCAAAAATCAGCCAGCGTGGTTTCAAAGTGCGCCCCGTATCCCATCATTTATTTCTACCACCAACAAACGGTCCACGCCAAAGGCGCTTCCCGTCATCCGCCGACCCTGTCGGCGTGTGTGAGGGGCTTGTCCGTTCAAGTCGTCATCTCCGTCATTCGTTGGCCGTCGTCTCTGTCGTCCCCTTTCCCTGCCTCCCCCCTTTCCCTGGGCTCGTCGAAGCTCCCCCCTTTCCCAGGGACCTCATCAGCGCGCCAGCCAAAGCGAAAATACGCAACGTCGTAAATGAGTCGAAGGGAAACCCTTCCCTTCGATCCCTCCCCCGCCGGGGGGGGTGGGGGAGTGGGGGGGGGAGTCCCGGGGGGGGGGGGGGGTCAGACGCCCCGGGGGGGTCAGATACGACGCCCCCCTGGGCCCCAAGACGGGCCCAGAGTGCCCCAAGAGGCCCCAAAGACAGTCCAAGAGAACCCCGAATCGCCGAACGATCTGTACAAGACACCTTGACGGCCTCCAGACGGCCCAAGAGGCCTGCAAAGCGCCCCTAAGAGGCGCCCAGGAGCTTTCTCACGAGAGCCCCAAGAGGCAAAATTCATGGATTTCCCATTAGCGTTCTTGCCTCTTCCGCTTCCCGACGCGCCAAGACGGCCCAAGAGGCCCCCAAGATCGCCCCGAGACGGCCCAAGAGGCCCCCAAGAGGGTCACCTAACGGTCGAAGAGGGCCCCACGACGGCCCAAGACGGCTCCAAGACGGCCCAAGAGGCCCGCAAGACGGCTCCAGGAGAATGCCCAGACGGGGGACCCGAACGGACATTTCGAGCTCTCAGCCCAAAGAGACCCCCAAGAGGCCCAAAAGAAGCCCCAAGAGGCCCCAACTCCCAAGGGGCCCCCAACCTGCCCCAAGACAGCCCAGGAGAGCCCAAATTGCCCAGGACGCCTCCAAGAGTGCCTCGAGACGGCGCAAGAGGAGCCCTGGACGGCCCAAGACGACCTCAGGAGAGTCACAGGCTGTCCCAAGAAAGCCTCTGGCCTCCTCCTCTTCCTCCTCCTCCTCCTCCTCCTCCTCCTCCTCCTCCTCCTCCTCCCCCCTCCTCTGCTCCCCCTCCTCCTGCTCTCCTTTGCCTCCTTCTCCTCCTCTTGCTTCTCCTACACATCCTTCTCCCCCCTCCTCTTCTCTCATCCACCTCCCCCACCCTGCCCGCCCCCTCGTTTTCATCTTCGTCGCTCTCAGGGTCGGCGGCAACGGCCGTAAGGCCTTCGCAATCAGAATTCGACCTCCCAGGAGTTGCATCCGAAGGAGGTAGCGGGGGGGCAGGGGGGGGGGCTCGTGCAGCTCGGCGGCGCGCACAGAGGGGGTTGTACAGGGGGAGGAGGAAGGCTTCGTGGGAGGAGGCTGCTTCTCAGAGGGCGCCGGCCCTGCATCTACAGACAAGGCCCGCGCCTTCTTAGAATCGGGGGCGCGCAGACATGGATTTGCGATGCATGGATTTGGCGCGCGGTCGCCAAATCCATGGATCGGGGGAGGTGCCCTCCCCAACAAACGGCCGGTGCCGCCTCGCTCGGCGACGGAAAACCACGATTTCCCATGGAAATGGGGCCCGCCGCCAATCCACGCCCCCTTGATCCATTGTTTGCGTGTGCCGCACCCCGCCGCTGCTCGGGAGGGAGCGGGGGGGGCCTCGCCCAGTGGCGGCAGGGGGGGGCCGGTCGGTAAAAGGAACGTCGGACGCAACCAGGACGAGGACAAATCCGGGTGAGGATAAATCGAGAAGCTCTGGGATCGGGCGGCTCTGGAGAGGATGTCTCGGGCGCCGCGCCTTCTCAAACGGTTTTTCGAGACGCTTCCAGAGCGTTCTGGAACGCTTTGGAACGGATCTGTCCTCGTCCTAGCACCAAGCCGGGCACGTCCCCCTACAGGCGGATTTGGAACGGAAACTGAAACAGATTCAAAAAATATTCAAAAATTACGCTACCGAGGAAACCCACATGCTTATATTATGGCTGGAGTGATGATAGCTGAAGTGAAGCATGTGAGAATGAGCCAGCATGAGCCAAGGTGGCTAAACAATCCGGGTTATGATACCACTCACCTCGTCTGCGTCCCCCTGTGCCCTGAGCACGAACGCACGTATAGCAAGCTTGCATACGGATGTGCCTTGAGCACCGCCGTCACGGATAGAGGCCGCCCTCAGGGACAACCCCCATGCGCGCCCCCCTGTGGTGTCGAGAAAACGCCACGCCTGCTGTGCTCTGGACGACCGTCACGGATAGTGGCCGCCCTCAGGGACCACCCTCTGCGCACCCCCTTGGGTGTCGAGAATATGCCACGCCTGCTAGGGCAACGACGGCCGTCACAGATAGCGGCCGCGCTCAGGTACCACCCCGTGCGCACCCCCTGTGGTGTCGAGAGAACCCCACGCCTGCTGTGCCCTGGACGACCGTCACGGATAGCGGCAGCGCTCAGGGACCACCCCGTGCGCACCCCCTTGGGTGTCGAGAAAACGCCACGCCTGCTGTGTCCTGGACGAGGACGACTGTCACGGATAGCGGCCGCGCTCAGGCACCACCCCGTGCGCACCCCCCGTGGTGTCGAGAAAACGCCACGCCTGCTGTGCCCTGGACGACTGTCACGGATAGCGGCCGCGCTCAGGCACCACCCCGTGCGCACCCCCTGTGGTGTCGAGAAAACGCCACGCCTGCTGTGCTCCAGACGACCGTCACCGAGTCCGAGAGGCCCCCCAGGGCGGCCCGAGGACTCCAGAGGGCGGCCCGCGACCGCCCCGAGAGGGCTCCAAGCTAGCCACGAGGCCCGCCCAGACCGACCCAAGTTCTGATGGAGTCGAGCTTCTGTGGGGGAGCCCTGTCAGAACCAGCACGCCCAAGACCACGAGATGCCCAGCAGACCCCGAACGGGCCCCGAATCGGCCCCCAAGAGGCAGAGGCCCAACAAGGGGACTCCAAAGGCCGAGACGACGCCTCTCAGAAGCACCCACGAACACAATCCAAACAGCAGAGACAAAACCGTGCAACGTCATGGCTGTGCCACGCTGCAGCATCGAAGCTCCACTTCCCCGACGTCACCCGTGGTATCGAGCCACACCGTGCGCCTTGCGATGCAGCGCCGGTGCGGTGGCGGGGTCTGCCACAGGCAGCTGGACAGCGCCCCTAGGAGCCACACGCCCCAAGACTCCCGAGTGCCAAGGAGCACTCTGAACGGCCGCTCCCCGGACCCTGCCCCCCTGGCGCGCAGCCGAGTGGGGCCAGGCATTCGGCCGATCCCGGTCGTCGACCTGGCCCTCCTGGTCCGCCGCGGGCCTCACCTGCAGAGCTGCCCAGCGTCCGCGGTCGTCCTGGCCCAGCTCGAAGCAGACCTCCTCCCCCTTTACCTGGGCAGTCAATGACACACCCGCGTGCTATTGCAACCCGTGGGGGCCTCCCATGTCATCTTGCCGGCTCTCGCGAATCGAAGCTGATCGAAGCTAGCCGGCGTCAGTCGGCGCCAATCGATGCTGAATCAACGCTGGTCGACGCGCAATCGGTGCTCTCTCGTCGATTACCCGACGCTAGCGCACGCTCATGCACTCTAAAGACTACATTTCGAGGACTAACAAGGGCTCCCGTGGGTTGCTACAGAACCCACGCCTGTGCACGCCGGTCGGAAGAAATAAGCGCATGTCGGCTCTTGAAGTAGGAGTGCGCTCGAAGCAGATAGGGACCCGGGGATCCAACAAATCAGACTCTCGACGACCAGCGAGTGCACACGCTCACCTCTCCGGAGCCTTCTGGCGGGGGGGCAGGCGAGCACGCCGACGGAGGGGGAGGGGAAGACAGACCGGGCGCTGCCAGACGTGCCCCTGGCCCGAGGGGCCCCAGAGTGAAGGGGCCCTGGGACACACAAATAAACACACACTAATAAAAGGATTCCCCACATCTTCCCACATTTTCTTCCAAGTTTTTCCCGGAAAGGGCTCCGCCCTGAAGGGTTCTCTTTTAGTTTGTTTCCCCCCGGTTTCGACGGCTGTAGGGCCGGCGAATTTCTTTTGCGATAAATAACGAAGTCGCGTAGGGCCGGCGAATTAAAATTTGAGGATGTCTCGAGCGAAACGCTTGTTTTTCAGAATTTGTTGAGGATGTCTCGAGCGAAACGCTTGTTTTGTGTTATAGATTGTCCTCTCCTGGGGACCTGAATTCTGAGGATCTCTCAAGTGGATTGCTTGTTTTCACGTGCCCAGGTCTTGAGGATGTCTCGAGCGAGACGCTTGGTTTCACGCCTCCAGGTGGCCCAGACAGATGTCTCGCATGAGGATTTGTTGAGGATGTCTCGAACCAGAGGCTTGTTTTCACGTGTCCAGGTCGCCCAGGCGGATGTCTAGCATGAGCATGTGTTGAGGATGTCTCGAACGAGACGCTTGTTTGCACGTGTCCAGGTCGCCCAGGCGGATGTCTAGCATGAGGATGTGCTGACAACGTCTTGAGCGAAACGCGTGTTTTCACGTGTCCAGGTCGCCCAGGCACAGCACAGCCCTCGGCACGGTACATCAATATCGATACCCTTAGCATTGCAGCCTGGCATGTTGCCTGGCACGTTCCGCGGAGCGTCCCGTGGCGAGTCCCCCATTGCACGTCGCGCGGTGCACGTCAATTGGCACGTTCCGTAGCGCGTCCCCTTGGCACGTCCCGCGGTGCGTGCCCATGGCACGTCCCCTGGCACGTCGCCTGGCGCGTCCCTTGGGACGTTCCGCGGCGCGTCCTCTTGGCATGTTCCCTCTGTCGATTAGTTCTGGGGCAGCTACCATCTGCTCAGGCAGCTCGAGCTTACGATCCAGATCAGTTCGGTGAGGACTCGGATGCCAGGGAGGACTCGATCCACAACGCTACATAGAGCACAATCGCGGCATGGCACATCGCAGTTCAGCACGGCCCAGCACAGCACAGCCGTCGGCACGGTACATCAAGATCGATACACTCAATTATGCACCTGGGCACGTTCCTTGGCGCGTTCCGTGGCGAGTCCACCTGGCACGTCGCGCGGCGCGTCCCCTGTCACGTCCCTCGGCACGTCCATTGGCACGTTCCGTAGCGCGTCCCCTTGGCACGTCCCGCGGTGCGTGCTCATGGCACGTCCCCTGGCACGTCGCCTGGCGCGTCCTTTAGGACGTTCCGCGGCGCGTCCTCCTGGCATGTTCCCTCTGTCGATTAGTTCTGGGGCAGCTACCGTCTGCTCAGGCAGCTCGAGCTTACGATCCAGATCAGTTCGGTGAGTACTCAGATTCCAGGGAGGACTCGATCCACAACGCTATATAGAGCACAATCGCGGCATGGCACATCGCAGTTCAGCACGGCGTAGCACAGCACAGCCCTCGGCACAGTACATCATCATCGATACATTCAGCATTGCATGTGCCCGTCGCCCAGTCAGGTGTCTTTGAAATGTTGCAATGCCTTACATTTCTATATTCCTTTCCGGGTTCGTGGGTCGATCATGTTTGTCTCCCCCCCCCCCACTTCGCCTATCTTCCTGTATTTTCTGGGGAATCGACGATTAATGGTGTCTGTGTGTTTTTCCTCCTCCTGACAGAGGTCTCGAAGGCAAGGAGGCCCCCGCGGCCTGACCATCGCTCGGACGTTCATTTCCTGTGTTTTTCCCGGAAAGGGCGCGGGCCCAGGGTTCTCTTTTAGTAGGTTAACCCCCCGGCCCCCCAGAGACTTGGGCCGGCGAAATTATTCTGCGATAAATTACGTGCGGGAAGAGGGCCGGCGGAATTATTTTTGAGGATGTCTCGAGCGAAACGCTTGTTTTTCAATATTTGTTGAGGATGTCTCGAGCGAGACGCTGGTTTTGCAGAGTTGGGGATGTCTCGAGCGAAACGCTTGGTTTCAGAATTTGTTGAGGATGTCTCGAGCGACACGCTGGTTTTGCAGAGCCGACCGCGACACGGAAAAGCGCCCCTCGCGCAGGAATTCCAAGGATGTCTCGCGCGTGCCGCGTCCCGCGCGCGGGTATTTGGATTCTTGGGAATTTGACAGAATGTCTCGAGCGAAACGCTTGTTTTTCAGAATTTGTTGAGGATGTCTCGAGCGAAACGCTGGTTTTGCAAAATTGGAGGATGTCTCGAGCGGTGGCCTCGGGGGGGGCCAGAATTCAAAGGATGTCTCAGGCGAAATGCTTGTTTTCACGTCCCGCTCGCAGGAATTCCGAGGATGTCTCGCGCGTGCAGCGTCCCGCGCGTAGGAATTCAGATGATTTTGACAGGATGTCTCGAGCGAAACGCTTGTTCCCAGCACGTTCCGTAGCGCGTCCCCTTGGCACGTCCCGCGGTGCGTCCCCATGGCACGTCCCTTGGCACGTCGCTTGGCGCGTCCCTTGAAACGTTCTGCGTCGCGTCCTCCTGGCATGGTCCCCTGTCCATTAGCTCTGGGGCAGCTACTATGTGTTCAGGCAGCTCGAGCTTAAGATCCAGATCAGTTCGGTCAGGACTCGGATGCAAAGGAGGACTCGATCCACGATGGCACATCGCAATTCAGCACGGCGCAGCACAGCACAGCCCTCGGCACGGTACATCAAGATCGATACACTCAGCATTGCAATTTGGCACGTTCCTTGGCACGTTCCGTTGGGCGTCCTTCGGCGAGTCCCCCTGGCACGTCGCGTGGCGCGTCCCCTGGCACATCCCGTGGCACATCCATTGGCACGTTCCGTAGCGCGTCCCCTTGGCACGTCCCGCGGTGCGACCCCATGGCACGTCCCCTGGCACGTCGCCTGGCGCATCCCTTGGGACGTTCCGCGGCGCGTCCTCCTGGCATGTTCCCCTGTCCATTAGCTCTGGGGCAGCTACTATGTGGACTATGTGCTCAGGCAGCTCGAGCTTAAGATCCAGATCAGTTCGGTCAGGACTCGGATGCAACGGAGGACTCGATCTACAACACTAGAGCACAATCGCGGCATGGCACATCGTAGTTCAGCACGGCGCAGCACAGCACTGATTTCGGCACGGTACATCAAGGTCGATACACTCAGCATTGCAACTTGGCACGTTCCTTGGCACGTTCCGTGGGGCGTCCTTTGGCGAGTCCCCCTGGCACGTCGCGTGGCGCGTCCCCTGGCACATCCCGTGGCACATCCATTGGCACGTTCCGTAGCGCGTCCCCTTGGCACGTCCCGCGGTGCGACCCCATGGCACGTCCCCTGGCACGTCGCCTGGCGCATCCCTTGGGACGTTTCGCGGCGCGTCCTCCTGGCATGTTCCCCTGTCCATTAGCTCTGGGGCAGCTACTATGTGTTCAGGCAGCTCGAGCTTAAGATCCAGATCAGTTCGGTCAGGACTCGGATGCAAAGGAGGACTCGATCCACGAGGCTATAGAGCGCAGTCGCGCCATGGCACATCGCAATTCAGCACGGCGCAGCACAGCACATCCCTCGGCAGGGTACATCAAGATCGATACCTTCAGTATTGCATTTGCCCGTCACCCAATCAGGTGTCTTTGAAAACGCTGCCATGTGTTACAGTTCTACATTCCTTTCCGGGTTCGTGGGTCGATCATGTTTCGGTTTCGTGCGTGGCTTTCTCGCCAAATGATCAAGGATGCTCCTCGATGGTCCTCGCCGAGGAAAAAGCGCACACGTCCGAGCGATGCCAAGTGCCAGACGTGCCCCTGGCCCGAGGTGCCCCAGAGGTCTCGAAGGCCAGGAGGCCCCCGCGGCCTCGAGCCGCGAGCCGCGAGCCACGGCGCCTCGCCGCCCGGGGGGGGGGGGGAGCGGGCACCGAGAGGGCGCCGCCAGGGGCGAGGCCGGCCGACGAGAGGCCCCGTCGGAGCCCCTGGCCTCTGCGCGGTCGTGCGCGCGCGCCTCCCCCACGCAGGAGGAGGAGGAGGAGGAGGAGGAGGAGGAGGAGGAGGAGGCGGAGGAGGAGGAGGAGGAGGAGGAGGAGGAGGAGGGAGGAGGAGGGAGGAGGAGGAGGAGGAGGAGGAGGAGGAGAAGGAGGAGGAGGCGGAGGAGGAGGAGGAGGAGGAGGAGGAGGAGGAGCGCGCGCGCCCTCCGAGGCCCGGGGGCCCCGAGGGGGCCCCGAGAGGGCGAAAAGGTCGGGGACACCTCGGGCCAGGACCGCGCCCAGCAACACGCCCGAGCGGAGGGGCCCAGGGGACCAGCTCCGCTTCGCAGTACCTGCGGTGCACGAACAGCTGCCCGTCCGGGTCGTCGGAGGCCACGATGAAGCCCCAATCCTTGCGGCCGTCTGCATGCTGGGCAGAAGGCCGCCAGGGAAGGTGAGGCTGGACACGCGTCCGATCTGCGACCACATTTGAACCGTACCCCTGCACGTCAGGTTTCTGAACCGCCGGCCGGGGTTCAGAATTCGAAGGAACTCTGCAGCCGAAAAAAAAAACCAGCGTGGGTGTCCGATAGCCCCACGTCGCCTGGACCCGCAGGGGCAGGCATCGCGCGTGGTCGCAGATCCGAAGCTCCACGGCACGTCCTCGCTCGCACTTCCTCCGCAATCGGGGATCAAGCTCTGGGGAGCATCCGGCCCCTGCATTCAACACGGCCCCCGCCTGACCCAGCCGCCGGCATTTGACCCCCCGATCCTCTTCGCGGTGCCAGCCCTGGAAGGTCCCCCGCATGCATTCTCCCACCTGACCGGTGGCCTCGAAGTCTTGCTGCTGTTCTTGGGCATCGAGGCAGTCACCAGCACCAACGTGCTCGATGGGGAGATTCAAATCCATGTAAGCGTGGGCACCCTCATCGTAGAAGAACCGTACAACGAAGTCGTCTGCCTCTGCACCGCAGGCCTCCTCTACATATGATTCTACACTGGCCCGTACCTCATCGAGCTTTTCCTCTGAGGCCAGGGCTGGCCCATGGACGTGCAGCTCCCGAAGAAGAGCTTCGAGACAACATGTGTGCCAAGAGTGCTTCTGGAGCTTGAGCCGCAGGGTCTCCGCTGCAGAAGCCCTGTCGTCGAGCTCGTCATTTTCAAGAGACGCGTTGCCACCTCGAAGGCTGCAGAACTCACTGTCCATGCGCTCAGACTGCTCCCGCAAGGAGTCGAGAGCCTTACATACCCAAGCGACATGTCGTTGTTTTTCGGGGCTCGCATCATTCTGGGCCACGATAGCATCTGCGGCCCGAACGGTCTTGAACACACCTGCAGAATCTACCTTCTCCGAAAACTCCCAATATCGCGTGACCAGGTCCCCCTCCTCAGGCCCTTGCGAGCAAAGCTGGTCCTTCCACTGTTGCGCCTGCTTCTTAACCCGCTTGATCTTCTCTTGCAACCGGCGTCGGGCACTGCAGAAATTAGTGTCGTGAGTTTTCTGCGTCGCCATCTGCGTAAGCTTCTTCTCTGTGGCTTTGCCATGCTTCAGCTTGAACCACACATCACGGTCGGCATCGACGGGGTGCACCAGTTTGTCCCACTCTTCCAAAAGGTCTTCGCCCTCCTGCAACGATGACCCCAAGAGCCTTTCGGCGTCTTGTTTGCAGAATGGCTTACGTCGGGATGCCATTCCTTGTGGGTGCGAAGAATCGGCGGGGTCGAAGCACAGCAACTAAGAGACCGCAGCGGATTGAGCCAAAACGGCCTTCAGGCCAGGTGATGGGGGGAGACCACGCGTGGACAGCTCGTTGCTCAATTGATTTTGCCTCGGGGAATCTACAGGCACGGCAGTGCTTGCACTTTCCCCTGGCCATCGGGGATCCGCCCCGCTCTCTGGTCCATTGGGCCCCAATTCCTTGGACGATTCCCCCCCGCTCTTCTTCAAGGCGGTTAGACTGCCGTTTACTACTTAGTTGAAAGTTGAACTTGCCCGTAGCTTAACCAACCTTAGAGTGATCGCACGTTGCCTTCAGCTTGCCTTGTTGGCATGTTACTCTCAAGTTGCAGCATTCCTCATTGTCGGCCTATATGCTGCCTTTACGTACATGTGGGCCTGCTTGATGCGTGCCCCATCTAGCTCGTACCTTGTCTTTCCAAAGTGTTTTGAAATTCCCGTCAGCTTGCTGTTTGCTTGCTTTGGGTTTGCATATCGCTTCACTGTCGCTTGCCTGCTGCTGGAATGCCCGTAACTCGCCTCCAGCCCAGCTTCAGCGCCCCGTGGGGGCGTTCTGCAGGCTCCCCGGGATTGTCACGAGCTCCAGTAGGAAACCTATCTGGGTTTGCAGGGCTATGAGCACTTCTGGCGTGCTATTCAATCATCGTGGAGCTCCCCGGGCCCAGCTCTAAAACCTGGTGGGTTTTTTTGGGGTCGCCTGGGACGGCGCGGAAAACCTGATGAACTTTGATTTCGGGCCCAGGGCGAATCTAATTTCCCCAATTAAGGGCACTGAACTGACTGGACTGACTGACTGAACTGACTGGGCTGATTGGACTGCTCGAGCCAGCTAGGCGCGCGCACGTTTGATTTCAACAACGGAACGCGTACCCCGTGGCGCAACCAGAAGCATGCCGTCTTATGTACAGCAGCCGAGAGCACAACCTATGGCGCATAGAAAAGAAGGCCGGTCGATGCTCGGCGGCCGAGCGCGCAACCCATGGCGCAAACAAAAGCAGGCCGTTTTATGATGGGTGGCCAAGGGCACAACCCATGATGCGCGTAACCTATGGCGCAACCAACAACAGGCGGCTTGACGCTCGGCCACCGAGTGCGCGACACGTGGCGCAACCACAAACAGGCCGTTGTCCGCATTCTCGCCCGCGGAAGGTGCAACCAATGGCGCAACGATCAACAGGACGCTTTAGATTCGGCCGCCGAGCGCGCAACCCGTGGAGCAACGTGCCGTTTTAGTCTCGGCCACTGTGCGCGCCACCTACGGCGCCAAGAAGAGCAGCCCGTTTTAGTTTCGGGCGCCGTGCGCGCATTCCATGGCGCCACCCATGGACAAGGCAACCGGTGGCGCAACCGACGGGGCAACTCACGGATGGCGCAACCTATGGCGCAGCCCATGCACGGCGGGACCCATGGCGTACCCCATGCCGCAACGTATTGCGCAACCCATGGTGCAACTTGTGATGGCGTAGCCCATGGCGCAGCCCATTTCGCAACCTGTGGCCCCGAGTGGCTGGCTCTCACAGCTTCCACGGGGCTTCACCCGACTCATGTTCTGGCGGCGGGGCCCGAACGGTGAGCCGTCTCGTGGTTTTTCCAGGAAAGGGCTTCAGCCCAAGGTTCTCTTTTAGAGGTTTACCCCCAGAATCAACTTGAGGTGGGCTGGCGAATTTCTTTTGTGATCAATAATGAAGACAGGGCGGGCCGGCGAGTTGAAAGTTGAGGTTGTCTCGAGCGAAACGCTTGTTTTGCAGAACTTGCTGAGGATGTCTCGAGCGAAACGGCTGTTCTGTGTTATAGATTGTCCTCGCCTGGGGACCAGAATTCAGAGGATCTCTCAAATGAAATGTTTGTTTTAACGCTTCCAGGTCTTGAGGATGTCTCGAGCGAGATGCTTGGTTTCACGCATCCAGATTGCCCAGGCAGATGTCTAGCATGAGGATGTGTTGAGGATCTCTCGAGCGAGATGCTTGTTCTCACGCGTCCAGATCGCCCAGGCGGATGTTTAAAATGAGGATGTGTTGAGGAAGTCTCGATCGAGACGCTTGTTTGCACGTGTCCAGGTTGCCCAGGCGGATGTCCTGCATGACGATATGTTGAGAATGTCTTGAGCGAAACGCTTGTTTTCACGTGTCCTGGTCGCCGCCCAGGCACAGCATAGCCCTCGGCACGGTGCAAACAGATCGGCACACTCAACATTGCAACCTGACATGTTCCCTGGCACGTTCCGTGGCGCGTCCCGTGGCGAGCCCCCATGGCACGTCGCGCGACGCGACCCCTGGCGCACGTCCCGTGGCACGTCCATCAGCACGTTCCGTAGCGCGCCCCCTTGGCACGTCCCGCGGTGCGTCCCCATGGCACGTCCCCTGGCACGTCGCCTGGCGCGTCCCTTGGGACGTTCCGCGGCGCGTCCTCCTGGCGAGTCCCCCTGTCAATTAGCTCTGGGGCAGCTACCATGTGTTCAGGCAGCTCGAGCTTAAGATCCAAATCAGTTCGGTCAGGACTCGGATGCAGAGGAGGACTCGATCCACAACGCTATAGAGCACACTTGCGGCATGGCACATCGCAGTTCAGCACGGCGCAGCACAGCACAGCCCTCGGCACGGTACATCAAGATCGGTACACTCAACATTGCAACCTGACATGTTCCCTGGCACGTTCCGTGGCGCGTCCCCATGGCACGTCGCGCGGCGCGTCCCCTGGCACGTCCATCAGCACGTTCCGTAGCGCGCCCCCTTGGCACGTCCCGCGGTGCGTCCCCATGGCACGTCCCCTGGCACGTCGCCTGGCGCGTCCCTTGGGACGTTCCGCGGCGCGTCCTCCTGGAGAGTCCCCCTGTCAGTTAGCTCTGGGGCAGCTACTATGTGTTCAGGCAGCTCGAGCTTAAGATCCAGATCAATTCGGTCAGGACTCGGTTGCAGAGGAGGACTCGACCCACAACGCTATAGAGCACGATCGCCGAATGGCACATTGCAGGCCAGCACGGCGCAGCACAGCTCAGCCCTCTGTAAGGTACATCGTGATCGGTACACTCAGCATTGCATGTGCCCGTCGCCCAATCAGGTGTCTTTGAAACGCCGCCACGCCTTACATTTCTATATTCCTTTCCTGGCTCGTGGGTTCGAACTGGGATGGGGTGCCGCTCTGGCGGCCCTGTGGCCGCCGTCGCCGCCCCGTCGCCGCCTCGTCGCCGCCCACCGTCTGGGCCGGTGTGCCGCTCTGGCGGCTATGTGGCCGCCGTCGCCGCTCCGTCGCCGCCCTGTCGCTACCCGTTGTTTGGGCTGGTGTGGCGGTCTGGCGGCTAAGTATTATAGTCGCCGTCGTCGCCCCCTCGCCGCTCCGTCGACGCCCGTACCTGGGCCTGTCTGGTGGTCTGGCGGCTGTTGCCGTCGTGGCCGTCCCGACGTTGATTGTACAACATAAAAGTCTGTCTCCTTTCTGGCAAAACAATAAAATGTCTCTCCCGGAACCAGGATTATCGCCCCCCCTGGGACTGTGCAGTCTACAAACGATTATGCCCCATCTTTCCATTCTAACAGCGAGCCATTACCACGATTTCGCAACATGGTTTTCAAACAACAAAAAGTCGACACACATACACACACACACACACTCTCTTGCCAATCGTAAAGAAACCCATCGGCTTTTCAACATGTTAGTCAATTCCGGCCAATGGTTGTTTTCGCACGTGCGTGTCGGCATCATTCGAAAACCCGTGCGCGCGTGCTGGGGGGCACGGCCCCTGTTCAATACTACCACCATGCGGGCCACTCGCGAACGTGCGAACGTCGGCCGCGCGCGCATGTCGAACTCCTTTCAAAACGTTCGTCGCCGACGCATGGACACCATCATCGCCATCGGCGTGATCAGCATCGGCGCCGTCTTTGGCCTTGCCGTTGTCATCGTCATCGTCGTCATGAGCATCGCTACTATCATCATCGTGTCTGCCGTTGTCGGCGTCGCCACTATACCGCGCCCGCCCGAACCACCGACTCGCACTGAAGTGCCCGCGCGTCAGCGCGGCATGCGAGACGCGATGGGGAACGAAGAAAAATTACTTACACTAGATAGATTGCTCGCTCCACATAGATTGCACAACACAGAATACTTGAAGCACACGGTTCGGGGCCCTCGCTGGCTAGCACACACATTGAAGGATACATACATCGATTAAAATCACGCACCTTTCATATTGCGAATACACATACGCATATGCACAAATATACCAATACACCAACACAACAACACAAAACATACCACCAAACAAGTACGCGATTCTCACCCACTTGCCAATATTCTCGAGCGCGAAAGATACCCGTACCCTTACCCAGACGGGGTGGCAAGGGGCCCTCGGGGCATCACCCCCCCTGGGTCCGGGTCGGCTCCCGAAACCACCATACATACCCGTGCCTAGACGGGGTGACCCAACCACCACCCCAGCTAGGTCCGGGTATGTATGGTTGTTTCGGGCACCGACCCGTACCCAGACGAGGTGGCGGCAAGGCCGAAAACGCTCTAGCGGGCGGCCCTTTTCACCCCAGCTGACCCCGGGTCCGGGTATGTTTTGGGCTAATGAAATATGTCCAATCGGCGGTCAGCCACGATTGTGGACAACACTCAAAGTCAGTAGTGCCCTCCGGAAGTGACGTGGCCGAGCGATACTCGGGGAGACGCGCATTGGCAACCCTGGGTTGACAAGCCAATCGTTGCAAAGCGGAGGTGAAGAACACGCAGAGAGTTGAAACGGGTAAACGAGCCACACAACACATGTTTTCCCGGAAAGGGCGCGAGCCCAGCGTTCCCTCTTAGTTTGTCAACTGTCCCCCGTGCCATGACTGAGGTGGGCCGGCGGATTCTTTTCCTGATATTTATCGAAATCGAGGTGGGCCGGCGGATAACAATTTGAGGATGTCTCGAGTGAAACGCTTGTTTTTCATAATTGGTTGAGGACGTCTCGAGCGAAACGCTGGTTTTGTAGAGTTGGGGGGCGTCTCGAATGAAACGCTTGTTTTTCCCAGATAAGCATGGGCCCAGGGTTCTCT